TACTCTGATATCTAGTATAAGGACTCGTACATGTTTATCAGGCAAACATCTAATCCTAGGGGTAACAAAAAAGCTTTGTGTTTAATGACAAATGACGACAGAGAAAACAGTTTAATTGTTGTTTCCTTTATTTAACCAACAAACCGTGTGAAAATAGTTTTGTGACATAAAAAAAGAAGACAGTCTCACATTCTTTTTGTAACACTTGAGGTGGACAGCATTTGTGGTATCTGAAGGCAGTATCTGAAGACAGCTGGCAGGGTTATGGAACCATACTGAGCGACAAGCGCTTCTGGAATGAATGTATATTCAGAGGAATAGCTCGGCATTTCCTTCAAGTGCTCAGGTTACCCATTAATGAGGCTTTGCTGTTGTTAGGTACTTTTCAGTGGTGATTTTTAACTCGCAAGCCACTACAGGAGGCCACGTTTTCATGTTAAAGAAAAAAACAAAAAAAGGAAAAATTGTCTGAGCTTTGAAGCAAACAGAAAACAGCCTTGTTCTGCACAAAAGAACCAAATGAGAGTGAAACTGATGGATGCTGAAACAACATGATGATGAAGACAGACTGAAATCACCAGGTGCTCCTGGTCATCTCTTTGTCACAACATAATTGTTGCAAAGCTCTGCCTAGATGTCCATTTCAAACTGTGCGTCTTCACCTACAAAACACAGAACAAATGTTACTCACGGAAAAAAAAGACACACAAATCCCCTTAACAATATTCACACCCAAATAAAAATAATTTAAAACTAAATATTGATGATTATTTCCACTTTTAGACCTGATTGATTAGTTTCATGCATGTTCAGTCCCTTTTAAGTCACTCCAGCATTTGAAGCATGTAAGCCCAGGACTTTCCATTTCTTGATTCTCAAGAATACAGCGTCCAGTTCCGTTTCAGCTTTTACTTCATTAATACCTCACATTTTCTACGAGCGTCATCTGTTACATGGCAAAATTCATGGATTCCACAGTGGAGCAAAAAAAACCATCGAAAAAAGATGATCCTTCTACATCTATGCTTTACTAGAATATTGCACTAGATTTCTTTAAATTTATTTAATCAGGAGAAAGACATTAAACAATGCTTCATTTAAAAGAAACTGTTGTCTTGTCTACACACCATCTACTCAAATACTAACATTAGTCCGTGGCTAGGCTTTCAAAAGTCAAAATTCAAAAGGAATAGAAACATATTTAAAACTAACCAAAAAAATAAAACTTTAATGAAAAAATAATGCATAAAAAGTGCTGAGCAGTGGAGGTTTCAGTATTCACTTATCTATCTCAAACACTTGGTTTCACATAAGATGTAAAAGTTCAAACACTTGGTTGATTGGGTCAGATTCTGAATGGCTTTTATTTTTTATGCCTTTCAGCATTTTAAAAACTGATATTAAATCTCTGTATCTGGATGTTTTTTAGGGTGGTCTAACTTGTTCACAGAACTTTAAACACTTTAGTAAGACAAAATGAAAAATTAGCAATAAAAGACATAAAATGGCATTACCATCAGCATAAAAAGCAGCAAATACTACTGCCTTAAATGAAAGAATAATCTCCCAATCGATACAATATTCTTAACCTATAGAGCGCTTACTGGTTTTAAACTTTCTGAGAATCGGTTCTTTGCATTTCCACCATAATCACTTGTACTGCAACCAATATGCCAGCTCTGTGTGGTGGCCCAGGCTACTGGTATTTCTCATTTTCCAAAAAATAATGGAATCACTTGAATTTGTCCAAACTGCTAACCATATGTCAAACTAACGTATAGCTGCATGTTATCGTAAAAAAGTTGGAAAAAACCTAGCAAAGAGAACATTAGCAAACACTAGTGATGAAGGCTAACCATCATCACCATAACCTCAATGCATCTTATCTAAACTATGTCATCATATGTTTATCTGAGGTGTGAACATACCAGCATTGCTTGTTTCAGGAACAGGAATGGAGTTGTTGTTCTCGACTTCCCCATTGACAGTCTTCTCATGGTGCCCTTTGGATGGCGGACTGGTGACCCCGGGAATGGGGGGCAACCCTCGAGGAGGGGTCCTGGCCAGCGGAGAGCTGCGGCACTCTAGCAGGAACTTTCGGTCATAGATGATTCTGGTTCCTGTCCAAATGAACAGGTCAAGCATTATAAAAACATTAGCACAAGAGGAAAAAAAAAGGCACCCCGTGTGCATTGAAAAGAACGATACAACCAATCAAAGATCAAACCTCAGCTGCCAATAAAATAGTTGGACATGTCTGAGACATTTTTCTTTCTTTTCTGACAAACTCTCCCAAAGCAAAGATATGTTGAAAATTTGTCAATCCATTGGGGGTTTGTCATCTTTTTACAAGTAGCAAGTGAAGTGTGTATCGCAACAAACAACTTACTCTAATCATCACAACCGTGTACAGTATATTAAAAAGACAACAACTTTAGATTAAACAGTCATGTTTCAACACAAATCAAGTGTACTGTTTGTACTTAGTGTACAAACAGTACACTACTTAGTGTATAAACAGTACACTACTTAGTGTACAAACAGTACACTACTTAGTGTACAAACAGTACACTACACTGTACCCAATAAAATTAGGGAACAACAGTTGATTTAACAGAAGTGAAAGGGAATAAAACTGCTGAGAAACAGTGAAACATGCATACACACAAATCTAATGACTGACTTTTAATATGAGTCACAGTCACCAGGATGTCAACAAGATATTCATTTCCTAAAATCAGAAACCAGAGTTTAAAACAAAAAAGAATATCATTTAAAGTTAGACTGTCTTAGATGTTATGTTACATACTGTATGAGTAAAATACATAAAATATTCTCATGTATCATGTGAAGGCAGTTTTTATAAACTTGAAGAGAAAATGTTTAATTTCACCAGCATTAACAAATCTGTTTCATACTAAATGAAGGTTATATATTGCAGGTACTTATAAGCTTTTAATCAGCCTCCAAACTCCCCACTTCAAAAACTTGGAACTACCAAAAGCTGAACTTGGACCTCTGTTCAAAAAGTGCTGCAGCAGGTTGAATGAAAACCTCAGAGACGACAGCGCCCTCTACAGACCACATGTAAGGCGCACACACACATACTGCATATCTTTGGTGTCAGAAGTTGCAGGGATCTGGCCATATAACTCAGAGAGCAGAGGTTAAAATCCCAAGAAAAACTTCAGCTATTGGATCAAGATTGCAGATATAATGAAAAACTAAACTTTCAACACATCCAACTTAAAGGAGAAGCTTTGTCTGAAGCACGTCACCTCCACCTGAAGAATAACAAACAATAAAGTGATTGAGAAAGACTTTCTTCGTTGCGTTAGTTGCTAGCGTTAGCAGCTAGCTGCAGCAGAGCCACCAGCTGACTTCAGCAGTCCTCGAGGAGTTAGCATGAACACAACGCAGCAGAGCTGCTCCTTGAAGGTGGTGCTTTGTGGAATAGACTCTTTAGACGTATTTACATGCATAAGCAATGTGTGTGCAGGCAGTGCGGTCCGTACCTCCAGGCGTGGTGCTGAACAGGGTTCCCCCCGGGGTGGTGGAGTAGTCGTGGGGCATGTGATCCGCGTTGTTGATGACCACCCTCTTGGTCGACGGGATGGCCTTGGCAGTTGTCTTCTGGCAGTCGGTGGACATTTTCGCTCAACTGTAATGAACTTAAAACTGGCTAACTAAGTGACATGAACCAGCGACGAAGTCTAGAACAAAAGCCAGGGAGAGTGGCAGAAGCTGCCTTGGCTCAACAGAATGGCTCCTTTCTGCTAAATAAAAACAATAAATATCTACTTTTCATGAGTGCAAATCAAAAATACCGTCTGAGGTTTTCATATCACCGCCGTCTCACACACACTGAAAGTGTCGAGGATCTTTGTTACAAGGCCCTCAGCACACTTTGCTTCCACATGCACACAAAACACACAGACAGACAAACAGACAGACAGGCTGCAGGGAAGTACTGCTAAGAAAAATAAGCGGAATTGACCCACTGCGCCCTCTACTGGCAGACTGTGCAGGCAAAATCGCTGCAGAGAGTTGCATTCTGTCTACCGACTGCGTTCAAACAAACACGCAAACACACCGTCTTTATTGTGGGATTCTGTGAAAACTTATAAATAAAACTGCTGATAAATTGTTTGGGTTCGGCTTGAAAATATTTTATTTGTTAGAGGAACTCAAAATAATAAATATATAAAATAGGATTAAAAAAAACATAAAATAAGTTTTAGATTTCACCAGGTAAGTTACAGTATTAAAATCTCAAACTGTTTTTCAATCTTAAGCTAAGAAATATTTATCCTAATCAATATTGTTGTTTTGTTGACACAACTGGGGAGGTTTCTACAAATAAGATATTTTATTAGAGTGCTGATCAATCAAACATGCAAAAAAAAAATCTCAGAAAATTACAAACTAATATTGGATATTTTAAATTTCCAATATAAGACTGAAAGCAGGAAATTCAAAAAAGAGTGTTTTGTTGTAAGCCATCTTATTGGGTAGTGATAATAATATCCCTTACACCACCCTTCTCCCTGGCTGTGTAAGACAAAGACTTAAAGGGCTGTAGCAAAAGAAAATGAGCTGAAATATCAGTGGTACCCAACAACTGATGGTTCATATCTAAAACATGCTGCTGTGGAATATTGTCTCTTCTAATTGGATATTTAGCTGTCAAGGCATTGAGGTTGCGAATCTTCGAAGATACTTGAATGAAATGAGTCACAACCATATTTACTTTCCCTTTTGGATAGTTAAAACATTTTTAATTTGTACTTCATACCTGTTTCAGTGATTGATAGGGCAGCCAGTCATTTTGCAATCAGAAAGCTGTGTATTCAATTCCCACTCCATCCCTTCTCATGTCAACACGCTCCTGGACAAGGCCCTAATTCTCAAGTTGAGTACCGATCTGCGTGTTGGCATGAGCATGTCTGTGAGCTGTGAATTAGAGGATTTCACACAAGTATACACACTATACGCAAAAACACATTTCATTTCTTTATTAATTTTGTAAATGTTGAGCTGGTGTACAGAGTAAATTGTCAATAGATGCCCTTAGACTTTGATTAGGTTAAAAGGTTTTCACGTGTATATTTTAAATTCATGTTTGACTCTCCATGACAATAAAAAACAAAAACAAAACAAGTTAAAACACCCATAATATCCCCATTTATCCCCAGATTGCAGGCAATACCCAGAACTCAACAGTCTCTTGGTAGCTACAGCTGTATGATGCGAAAAGTACATCCATAACATAATAGAAATCCCAGTTGACAAGTAAGGGTGCATAGCATTCTAAGTAAATATATATATTTATATGTTCCATATATATATATATCAATAGCCTTTTTATGTTAAAAATATTTTGTGCATGTGCGCAGTTGCATTCCTTAGTATCGAGTAATATGCTATTGCGTTAATAATGTCTTCAATCCATTCTAAAGGAATATACATGTGTTCTCTAGTTTTTGCAGGAGTTAATATTTTTGCATGAACTTGGTGCATGGCATCGTTTTTGGCAGTCCCTCAGTGCAGGGCTTTCCAGGTTTTCACCTCGCTGTTGTGAGCACAGCGCCTCCTGCTGGCACCTGCTCGGACACCTTTCTGACCACATTCAGTCTGTCACCATGTGGAAGCCTCAGATTTGGCTCAGTCTCATATTTGGTAAGAGGGAAACAAACAAAAAACAACTAAACAGAATAGAGGGAGGGCTGTGTTGAGGAAAAATGCTTGTCATCTTGAAGCCACTGAATTCCTCAAGAAATTCCACCTTTTTTCAGATTGCTCCCCCTTGGTGAGTTTTCCCCAATAATCGGATCCCTGTGACAGTAACCCTGACATCAGCAGAGGAGTCATAAAATCAGTCAGCTTGTAAAAGCAACCCAAACATGTAGGAGGAATGAAATATCCCTTTAGAAAAGATTAAATAAATAGTCTTAAAAAGTAAAAAAAAAAGGGCTTCTAGCCTCCAGTAAAATAAATCCTGAAAAAAAAATCTGATGTGAACTTATGAATTATATTCATTATTATTGTTATTATGTTATATTTGCTCAAAGCCACATATATTATTTTGCTATTTTTGTTTCAATCTACTCTGTTCAGAAGGTGCAGCACAATAAAAAACTCAAAGGTGTCACATTCAAACCTTTGACACCAGAAAAAAATGGTAAAAGATATTAGCAAGTCAGCAAAAAATAAAATTAAAAAAAAATATCTGAAAGAATAATCATTTGACATTTCCAAAAAGAAACATAATGGGAAAATATTCGTACATATATAATATCAAGTTGTTTATATACTTAAATTTTGCTCATTTCATGATTCATTTTATTAATATATGCATTTTAAATACTCTGTAGTGTAACCAAAAAACAGGTGTTACGTTGTATGGTGCAAATTGTATGCTGTGACAGACCGGGAACTACTTTCAGTTCAATACATTTTCAATATATAATATTACTTTCATGAGTTTTAAATAAGATAATAAAATATAAATATCATCTAACAAAGAGATAATTGCAAATACTAGTCAAGGCTTTCCTGTTTAAAAACCGTCCTTCATGTATGTTTGTGATGAAGTGAGGAGGAAGTCAAATGTATGATGAGCAGATACTGAGCTTAAAACAGAGTGAACACCCTAATATCTATTAAAATACAGAGCCAACACATGACAGGACTCACAGTAATACCACCACTTTACATTCATCGTTTCTGGCTGTGGAGCCTACTAAACATTTACAGATGGATGCTTATTGCGACATTTCTGTGGTTTATATATTTTTGTCTGATAAAGAGTTCAGAGGGGAACACGGCATCGGGATAAAATGCATGTCTAGACAGTTTGCATCATGTGAGATGGCACACACATATTGAGGTAAATCAACCTCTAAAATTAATCAAAAAGTTTATGTATATAGTCTGACTATTTGCAGTACCACACCCTAACCATAATTGTCCCCTTTTCTGGGACAGAAGAGGTACCCAGAAACACATGCAAACTTATAAGGTGCATATGAATGTCTTTAAGATTTAAAACTGCTTGGACACACCTACATTCTCAAATGAACAACAAAATCAAACTTTGGGCACTTTGCAGATGAGATTCATGCAGTGACAGTTTTTGACATGGCTCACCACCCAGGGCGTCATTCCATCAGAGATGTCATGAGCATGCTCAGTCATTGAAGAGTGTGTTACAGTGGAAAACTATAAAAAAACACAAAAAAACTAAACATTTATACAATGTAGGATGGGAAAGATGATGAACTTGGTATCTGAGTTGTAGACCGCTAGAGATATTTCACTCTTTTTTAATAGTTTGGACAACATTTTCTCTGTTTATTCAAAATTTGAAAAAGAAGACTGAGACTGTGGAACCTGAGCTGGATTATTCTGCTCTGTGTTGGTCGGTGCCACTTCTTTAAAGCACAGTTTGAGATTCACAAAACTTTCAATCTTTATGTGCAACATTAAAAAGTTAAATTATAATACTTTATTCTTTTAGAATAAAGTGCTATTCTAAAAGTAATACGAGCTAGAAACCATACAGATGGATTAAGCATGAGTTGTTCTACAGGGATTTGTGCATATTTTAATCTATTTTGTGCCATTTGTGCAAAAACCGCCACTTGATTTATGATATGAAGTCACACCAACATAAACAATGTTTTTGTGGATCAAAATACGCAAAGGTGGAATCCTAAATTACTGACATCGTTTCTGAAAAAAGAGAAGACTGTGAAGCTGTGATAGGGTTTAGGAAGACCGTGACCTTTGATCCTTAAATTTCCATTCTTTTCTCACACTATCACACATAAATATGCTTTTTTTCCTTTTGCTAGCAGTTATTGCTCCTTTTGAATATTACATGAATAAACGTCAAAGAAAGTGAATTATTACAACGTAAGATGAATTGAAAGGAGAAGAGATTGGAGACGAGGGGGAGCCAGGCTCACAGTTACAGGTCAGTATTACAGTTTCTCATCACAGTGATCGGTGACTGACTGCCTTTGCTACGTTCCCAATAGCCATCCAAAGGACAAACATCAGAGCTCAACACGACCTCGACCCGTGACGCGACGCTCCTCTGCCTGCCCAGTCAGATCAGTGCTACATTGCCAGTGTTTCAGCTACCTCATCGAGTGACATCGTCTAGTGGAGGACAGGTGATCAGTATGTGCACCGTGTGTGTGTGTGTGTGGTGGTATGAAATGCTGGAGGATTTTACTGGACAGCTGCGAGTGGAAGGTGGGATCCTGTCCTCTATCAGGGAAGGAGGACAGGACTGCTACATGTGCTCTGATAGGGTGACCGCAGAGGGGAGATACATTATTACAAAACGGTGTGGACGAAACCAAAGCAAAAGAAGAGAGATGGAAAAGAAGTTTAGTCTCCTCATAAACTTTCATCTAAACTGTTTCCTTCTGCACAGAGAAGGTCTTAAAACTGCCTCCTAAAGATGGAAAAAGACCCACAGTACAGCAACTGATGGAGGAGAAGTCCGTCTCTCTGCAGTCTAAATGGTGACAGCAAGTGAAAGGTGCAGAAAAATGAGCATAAACTGAATTAAAACAGGCAGAGTGACATAACGATTGCATGTTCTTGTACCCACAAAGATCTCAGGATATATAGACTAGTATTATATAGGTTCTGACAGAACAGATCTAACAATAAAACGAGGAAGGAATCTCTTATGTACATGAAAGCAGCATCAGTGGCATCGCATAGAGATCTCAGAGAACATAAACAACACACGTAACACACTGTCACGTAGAGCTTGTGAGTGCATACAATATTATGTACACTGATATTCTTGGGTGGTTAGAGGAGCTTTGTTGTGCTCGGCGCACTGAGAGGGGATTAAAACGGATCTGTGTGTTGAGGAAGAGAGGAATTTAAGTTTGTAGTCTCTTTTTTTTCTCTGACTGATAAACAGTTAGTGTCCTGGTTAATTTAGAAATCAGACCAGTGATTGAATAAACATTGCATGCCTGTCCCATCCCACCCCCTTCACCCGCCCCTGTGTTTCCCTCTGTATTTGTAGTTAAAGACAGGCCATGCGGCAGCAATCACTCATGCTGATACAGATAACAGGAAGCACATGTCGGTTGCGTTTCTTTCTTTTTTCTTTTTTTTTTGCCTGTGTTTGGTTTTGTATGAAATCATGCTTCTAGCCTAGTAGGATTAGTTTTTTTTTTTAAACCAGAGTTTCTTAAAAATAAAGAGGTAATAAAAACTAGAAGTTAGATCTTTATCCTTTTCTTCTGAAACGTGCTGAAAGTTGGCAACGCCGCTGTCGTTGTGTTGGAGGGGGATTTCGTTTTCATTTGTCTGCCAGTCCCTGTGTGGTCTTCTGCCTGACAGCTGCTGCTGGTCATGTGTCCATGTACGATTGTTTCGGTGAAGGGGTTGAATCTTGCGGAGAACTCTGTGGATAGAGGGAAAATCACTGATGCTGCATTAAGCTCCAAATGTTTTAATAGTGTACAGGTGCATCTCAGTCAAGTAGAATGTAAATTTGTCTCAATAATACTTTAATTCATGAACTCATGTAACATTTATTAAACAGAAGGCTTCATTTAAATTGTTTGGCTCTATTAATGTTGGTGACTACTGCTCAGAGTTAATGGTAACTCAAAAATGAGTTTTATTAGAATTTCACATAGGGCCAATAATTTTTTTATACTAAAATATTATTCTTTGAACAACACACAATTATGTGTCGTAATAAACCAGCCGTCCATTAGACAGCCAGTGACACCCGCCGGTAAGCACAAAAGAACGTTGGTAAAGAACGTGGTAGAGAGAGTGGTATATTTAAGCATGGAAAGTTGAGTGGAAGGATGGTGTTGGACAAGCAATGAGTGATACCCACAGCTTCAAGAGTCAACATAGAAGAGGAGCTCTTGCACTCTTTGTCTTTAAACACTCCTGAACCAAAAAAAAAAAAAAAAAAACACCAGACATTTGTTGGGCTACAGAGTAAAGAAGGAAAAGATGTTGCTCATTGTTGAGCTCAGTTTGTGTCAGTGGCAGCTAGCAGTAGCACTTCCAGTGTCAGCTGCCACAGCTGCCGAAAGCTAAAACTAGGAGGCCAATAAGAGGCCATAGAGCAGCCAAAGCTGCTGCTGCTGTTTTGGGGAATGCCAATTTCGCTTTCTAGTTATTTTGTTTGTTAGTAAATAATTATTTTTCAAATGGTGATATCATTGGTTATTAAAATGTGTTAAACCTGTCATATTTTGACTGCATTTACTTGAGGAAGTGGCTTTTCCATGAAGTAATATTTGTTGTGGCAGATGCTTTGGCTGCCACTGCTTCGGTGACAAATACCAAAGAATAAGAGAGTTTCTTTAAAATGTATGTGTGTCTGTATTCTTATTTTGTTTTTTTGCTTGTATTGATTTGTTCTAGACTTGCTCATATTCTTATTCAATTCATATTAAATAATTAATCTCCTCCTGCTGCCAATAAAACAACAGCAGATGCCTTAGAATCAGTGGTAGCTGCCCCACTTTTTGGTGGCAAATGTACCATATTTAATACCTTCATAGATATTGACAGTAAATATCTATTTGATTCATGGTCTGTTAACTGTGGGTTCAGTAAGTTTACATTTCAGGAAAAAAAAAACGTATGTGTCTATTTGTATAACAACAGTATGCACTGTTCTCATTTCATACTGATTTAGTGAACTAAATAAACTTCCTTATGACACTCTAATTTATTGAGGTGCACCGGTACAAAAGAGATTGCATGCATAAACAAACATTTCAAAGCAAACATGACAATTCTGTGCAAGAGATTTAAAAGTGCCGTATTCCATGAGTTTGGTAAAATGCTCACAATTTCCCTCATGTACAAACCACAATCTTTATCTCAGTTCCAACACGCCCCACTTTACTGCTGCTGTGGCATTTAACCAAAAATGGTTGGCAAAAGCAGGTTAACATGCAAGAGTGAGGCACTTGAAACATCAGTAGTCTCAGGAATGTCATGGCCTTTATTTTAGAAAGGGCAAGTCACCATCACCCACACACACACACGCACCCACACACACACACACAAACACCCAGACCCACCGCCTAGTGGCTCAAATTCTCCAGACAACAGCCTTGGCAGCTTTGTCCTTGAGCGCTGCCACTTTACAAGATCTGTCTTGGTTTTGCTGACAGCACACTGTGTCAGACTTTATCAGACTTGTCACAATGTGCACAGAGAAAAACCACGGACCCAGTACAACTTTAAAGATCTTTTTACATTGAGAATTTGGAATTATATTTGTGTTCTAGTGCAAAATGAAACTTGAAGGGACAATTTTAAAGAGACGTATGGATAAATATATATTGGAGAATCATCATGTCAATAAGAAAGTCATCAAGGGAAATAAAGTATCGTCTTGTCCTTAAGATTTTTTATTCACAAATATAACTCCGTGCTGTGATGTGAGAATGAAAAAGCACAGAAGCAGTTAAGGTTTTCAGTAGTTGGTTAGCAATCTAAAAAATTAAAAACTACTTGATTACAATTATTTTTCACAAAAGCTAATGAAACTGCATATAAATAAATTAATAACGATAATGATATTGAGGTTCATCGAGTGCTTTTACAATAAGGATGAGAAGGCATTTTTTGACTTGGGGTTGTGTGGTGTTGCATCAGTGGTCAGTATCTTCCGCACCGTAAACATCATTCTGTTTACTTAAGATAGATTTTCACTTTAGAATCAAGCTAACAGTTAGTCAAAGTAGTGCAAAGAAGAACGCGCACAACCTAATCTTATCTTGCACCGTGTGTCCAAAGATAAGAATATCTTATCTTTAGCAAAGCACAGCATTCGGTCTCAGCTACACATGCCAAATATTGCTGCTTCGGCACAGAGAACAATTCATCCATTCTTCTCTCCAACATTACTGATGAATTGTTGCCGGGACTTGTTTCGTTTGGCAAACAAGCTCCATGCTACAGACACTTCTTGGTCTGCTAAACACTCAATACACTTCCATCCTGCTTCATGGCCACCTCTAAAACCACATGGAGGAGGTAAACTGTTCATTACTTGAATGAATGATGCAACCCTGGGTAACTGGCCAAATGGCCAACATCCAAAAACACCAGCAATATTTACAGTAAATATCTATTTGATTTATGGTCAGTTAACATTATTGGTAATTAGCAGGGAGCGATAACTAAAGGTTAAAAATAAACAAAATACTGGTTAATTCAACTGCTGCAAGATATTTCTTGACATGGGTTTGTCAAACTGGGTTACTGTTAATTCAAATAGTTTCTGGGTACACTTGGTGCCTCAGATGCACTGAGACCTTGGCTGCTGACCAGAAATGGAGCATCATCAGTTTCCACCGGTTATCAGTTTTTACTGAGCAGCTGTCAAAACTGCTCAGTCGAAACTGCACTGTATTTGTGATGTTAATACAGTGCAATACCATCACAATACCATCACAAAATGTGGCCAAGGGCCATGATGGAGGACGAACAGTGAATGTTCACTACATATTCTGTAGTGTTGATTCGCATAAAACCTCCTGTACTATTTGTCCAGAACGTCTTTATCTTGCTAATTCCTATTTAATCATACTAAATAGTGGTCAGGATTTTAAAAACTCTGTTTTCCCAAACTAAAGTGAATCAAAATACAATTGCAGGTAAGATGGAGGAAAGATACTGACTACTGATTTCTTCACAGAACCCCTCTACACAATGTTGAGAGAAAAGATTTCCATATTGTTTTAGCTACAGTGTCTATTTGCTGATAATTTTTTCACGTTGCTGTGCCAGTGTAATGTTACATATCATTAGTATTTATTAAAAGATAAATTTAGATGCATTTAATCCAGAGAGACCAGATTAAATGTTTTCTAACCACAGGTCAGACGAGGCACTGTAGGTCAGTCCCATACCTGCAGGGACGCAGCACTCTGTCTGCCTCACTGCTTAACTCTCCGCAGACTGGCACATTTCACTATCTGAGCACCTTTCTTCACATCCACAGAATCGGTCTACGTTGTGGGGAGAGGAAGAGGGAGTTTACACCAAATGAAGTCCCGGAGTTGAGGACAGATGGAGGAGACAGAAGGGGAAAGGAAGAGGCTTAGAGAATATTAGTAAAGGAGGATATAATAAAAGAAGAATGGAAACAGAAAAAGACAAGTTGGAACAATAGAAACATATCAGCAGAGAAAGAAAATTGTTCAGACAAAAAAAGAGAAGACAGGCAGCAGGAATAATGAAATGTGAAAGAAATGTGCAGCTGATAGGAAAGGAAAGAACAGATTAAAAAAGTAAAGGATTTATAAACAGTCAAGCAAGGATTGAAATCAGGAAAGGTTTAAAGATGGATAAAACAACGGGAATGTGGTTCAGAGTAAATAGAAAGTATTTGAACAGACTGTTAAAGGCCCAAATAAACATGCATCCGTCTGAACAGAAGCTAGCATTTGTACTCCATGAACCTTTTCAGATTTTTTCTAGTTTCAACCACAAACTTTCGCATATGTCATTGGATTTTTATTTAATACACAAAGTGGAGTTTAATTGTGAGGAAATAAAATAAAAAATTTTTCATTTTTCTTTTGCTAATAAAAATCTGAATAATGTTGGATGCATTTTTACTCAACCTTTCTGCATCGGTGTATTTAAAGCTGTGGGTCTTTTAGTGTATGTTTCTGCCATAATTGCTCAGACCACATGACTCTCTTTCAAAGCAGCTTCCTTCTTGCTTTAATGCCAGATTTGTGGAGTGTGTGGCTAATATTTGACCTGTTGACAGATTCTCCCACTTCAGCTTTAAGCTCCTTTAAGTTACTATCTTCGCTGCTTGTGTAATCAGTGATCAATAATCAACCCTTATTTGGATTTCTATTTAAGGTGACCAGACATGACCAGGCAGGTTTGCAGTAGAACCTGTCCACAGCTTTTGTATTGATCAATTTTCTATGTGCCTTCGTCTTCATGAGGATGTTTGCTCATATTTCTTCTCTAACAATCCTACAGGTTATCATAAAGCAGCTGTATTGACAAGATTAAACCACACACAGATTAACTCTATTTACTACTTAAGTTTCTTCTGAAATAAATTGGTTGCTCTGGATTTTACTTTGGAATATCAAAGTGGCTTGATTAAAGATGCCACAGTTTTCTGATTTGCATTGGTCTGTCTGCAGTTCTAACAAAATAACCAATGTTTGTGGTTGTAGCGTGAAAAAGTTTGAGAAGGTTCAAGGGGTATGAACACTTTTGCAAACTGAACTAGAGTAAGAACTCTGTACCACATGCCACATTAAACCCATTCGATGACTAAAGGAAATGTGAATCAGAGGTAGCTTGAGGGATCAGGACACAGTCGTAGTTGAAGGACTGAGCTTTAATAAATGCAGGAAAACAGATGAATCACTCATTATGAGGAGAAAGAAAAGTTATAGCTATAACAATTGCAGGAGGTAATTTCATTCATTGTAGCGTTGAAAACAATCAAAGTGTAGGAATGGCTTAATGATGACAAAAATGAATAAAATCTGAATGAACTGATGGAGTTTTGCATCTTAGCCAAAGCAAACAGAAAATGAGAGACTGTGTTTTCCACAAATGTAAAATAAAAGAACATGAAAAAAACATTTGGATGGAAATAAATGTAACAGAAAGTCAGTGTATAGTATTTACCCAAACACACTGAAACTGGTTAGCTGGTTTACAGACAAACTAGAACCACATTCAAGCTTACTGCTTTCATCTCTTTATGTTGAGGCTTTTGCACTGCTTTACACTAGCTAATCCTCATATGGTGTCCAGATGTACTATGGGACGTAATTTAATTTAGCAAATTCAGGTCTAAAAATTCCTCTTATTAGTTGAAAGCTGAAGAGAGCCACACAGCTGTCTGCAGATCAGAAGCCCACCTTGCTGCTGTCGCGGCCTAGGATGGCGTAGCTCAGGTACTGCTCAGCATCGCCCTCCAGTTCGTTGGCATCCAGCAGGGCACCCTCCACTTCCAGAACCCCTTCTTCTCCCAAACCTTTCCCTCTGCGCACAACTTTCCGTACAATCTATTCCACATTTCAGATGTTGGCAGACAGGAGGTGGGGGGAACAGACGAGGGCGAGTGGATGATAAAGTAACAGAAGGAGAAGAAGAAATGTTGATGGAGAAAAAAAAACTGTACTAAAAAAAAATCATCCAACATGAAATGAATGAAGAACTCTGATACATCTGACAATTGTTTGACTAATCATTATGGGGGGAAATGCTGAACGAATATTTAACCGAGAATGAAGAAAATCCTGATTTCAGTGTGGCTATAAGGCATGTTGAAAGTGCTGACCTTCTTGGTGACGATGTTTCCATGTTCATCTGTGAACTGTTCCTCACTTACTTGCCCACCAGCAAGGTCTTCAACTTCATCGCCCTGTAGACAACAAATGCTCATGTTCAGGCTTTCTTATTTAAAAACTAAAAAAATACATTCTTCCTAAATTGCAGGCATGAACTACCTGAAATATAAATATATATATATTGAACTAGACATGCCTAATTTAAGACAATTTGAGATATTTTGGAGTCTAAAATTTGGAGAATCTTCTAAGGGTATTCCTTGAACATTTTACCTGCACAAGCTAAGAGAGGTAAATCTATCTAGCTCTTCATAGTAGCTCTGGGTTGCTTTTCACCATGAGTCACATATTTGCCCAATCAGTCAATTTTGTTATGCTCAGTCTCATTCTGAGTCCATCAAAACTGTTCATTTCCCTTGACCTCTTTCAGAGTACAATACACTTTCAAATTTTTTTTTTTACTATGATTTTATGAGACCCAACACAAAATAGTAGATAATTTTGAGGAGGAACAACAATAATTTTGTTTTCTCTTTACCTAGAAACTCAAAATCAGTCAAACTGAATACAGAAACACCATAAACACTTTGTTGAGCAAACAACCTTGTATTTATTGCTATCCATCTCTGTTCCTGGTGAAGAAAACCCTTTAATGTTGCCGACACTACAGTTCACAGTAGAGATTATGTCTTCATAGAAACGCGCAGCATTAATTTCACCACGCATTAAGCCAAAACGTTTTAATTATTCCAACATATTATGTGTGTTCCCACCTGTCTCAGCTTCAAGTCTGCTATAAAGTTTTAAAATGTCATTTGTTGCTTTTCTCTGCTCAGTTCTCAGGTAAAGTAGAGATTTGCAAACAACATTCTGATTTGAGTTATTTTTCACAGTCCTATAAACTTGATTGCAGCTACCAATGCAGTGTGGATGCAATCAAGTTACCTCTCCACCAAATGGAAACACAGACAATCAGACAGCCAACAGCTTAAGAAGACAGAGATGTTGATTTCAGGATCTATTAATTTTACATTGCATACTTAAAATCACAATGCATGGGGGTCATTAAAATCCTCTTTCATCATTAGATAGGTTTTCTACAGATTGTATACACTGCTAGATATTAATTTAGAAATTCTTGGACACAATCACAATGAAGTTGATAAAACCTGAACTTGCATGGACATTTATAAAATCACCATGTTTCCACAGTAAGGTATATGTCTTTAATAAAAAGATGTAAAGAGGAAAGAAGTTGATGAAAGACCAAAATATGTTAAAGGAACTAAGGCTCAGAGTTGTCAAACTGAGTTTTATCTATTTTTATGGCAGCAGAGGATAATGCTCTAGAAGTACTTCTGCTTTCCAGTCACAGCATAGGCTTATTAGATATTATTACTGCATCATTATTTCTCAGCAAGCATTTATTGTGCTTGTTCCACCTAATTGCAATAACACACGTAAAGAATCATAAACATGTGAACAAGAGCCTTTTTTGCTATAAGTCATATTCACACATAAGCAACTTTTTCTGACTATATCCAGATGGCTTATTGCTGATGTTAAACCCAGAAAAACACTTTCGACTTTTTTAGTGTGTCCTTTGAATCTACATTTAGATGCCAATAAATGGTTCTATACTGCATTCATTTTCTGCTTAGATGGAAAGCATATATGTTTTTTCTGTCTTTTTTATGGGGCATGGGGTATATGAACATCATTGCATCTTTCAATCAATATTACAACCTGGTATATCCTAACAAACGTATGAAACAATGTGTCGCAAAAGGTTTTTGTTCAACTTCCTTTCTGCCCCTCACGTTTGTACCTTGAGGATGACTCTGCGGCGGACCACCCTTGTGGTCACGTTCTCCTCCTCGTCAGCGACCCCTTCGACCTCACCCAGCTCATGGTCCAGCTGAGCATGTATGTAACTGAGCACAGTGCGCACAGAGCCGCTGGCAATATGGAGGACGTTCTGGCAGCTGATCACCAAGAAAGCCAGCAGCACAAAGCTGAAGAGGAGCTCGGTCACCAGGGCCCACATCGCCCCAGTTTAATGCCCAGCACACCGACACGGTCTGCACAAAGCGGCTTCAGCTACTCCCTTTTTCCCAGACTGTCCCCTTTACTGTGAGAGAGAGCAACAGCTGCAGCTCTTTCCCCTCTTGACGCTGTTTTGGTGAAAATGGTGTCTCAGATCATTTTTGTCCTCCAGCAGCTGCGGCAGTGGGCCCTCCTGACCCGTCTCTTCCTTACGAGAACCCAGTCAAAGATCCAACCAAGAGCAGCTATGAGAAGCTTCTATTAACACCTCTCTGACTTTCAGCCCACGTGATCTGTGGGCTTTAAATACCTCCTCCTGCTCCTGTGTAGCTTCATGTGTTGTGGTAATACACCAGCTTTAACTCCTTATATTTTCCTTTCTTTTCTTCAGAACTTAAACAGCAAAAATCAGGCAAAAATAACTAAGTTACTGACACAGTAATGTACGTCCCAAATGAACCCAAATAGTTTCTTTAATAGTGTTCACCTAAACATGACATTTACCCCATAAACATGGTAATTCCACTTTGATATTTGTAGTCAAGCAATATCATAGTTAAGATTTGCCTTTGGTAGTGTTTTCTGTCTGTCATGTGTACAAAGTTAAGAGGTGGGAACGACTTAGGGAGAGTCTCATGTAACACGAATGGGAGTCAAAGAATGCTTTCTATATCTGGACCTTCATACCATTAGTGGCCATCTTGGGCTCTGGAGTGTCTGTGTGAGTTTCTGGAAGTGACTTTTGTGATCAGTGGTCAGTGTCTGTATCTCAGATGTCAAACTCCAGCCCTCAAGGGCTGGTGTCCTGCAGTTTTTAGATGTACCACAGGTACAAAACACTGGAATGAAATGGTTTAATTATCTCCTACTTGTGTAGATCAGTTCTCCAAAGCCTTGCTAATGACCTAGTTATTCTATTCAGGTGTGGTGCAGCAGAGGCACATCTAAAAGTTGCAGGGCAGTGGCCTAAACAATAAATATAAAAGTACTTGGGTTTGGACAATATTTGCATTGCCAGTGAAAGAAATTCAGATGAGGGAGTCAGATCATGACCAATACCTGGAGTGAATATAATGAAGATCTTCAAAAAGTAAAACTCAATCATTTTGATTAAATGAGGAAATAAAGTAGGAAATAATGTTCATTAGCAGCCATTACACTGCATTGATCATAACTATAATTTGGTTCTTCCAAAGCCAATTTCACCATTTGGAGGTAATTTCATTGGTCATTGAGTGTGCAGTCATTTGGTAATGTTCTAAATCTTTTACAATTCCCACTTACTTTGAAAAATTGTGACTGAATTTTAAAGAAAATGAAAGATCAATGCACTCACCTGACCTTTCAGGCGCACGTCGTCCCAGGCTCTCAGTTCTGGTACCCTGTGTGGGAATCCCAAACCCTTCTCAAAAGGCTGGGTACCTCTGAAGTGGCCCCGTAAAATCTCAGAGTGCCCCATGTCCCTCACGGGTTGAAGCAAGGCCTCCTGGGACATTAGGGATGGGTCTACATCCACAGCATTACGTACAGATGAAATCATAGTCTCCATGGCCTGCCTGGGCTTAGACTGGGTGCCCACCCAAGACTGTGTGGGGTCAGTGACAGGCATCCATGCTGAACCGGTCTGTTCCTGCAGGTAAGAAAGGAAAGAGCCTCCTCCACTTCCGTTTCCACCATTAGCTGACCTGAAAGCAGAAGATGAGTGAGGACACTTAATGTCACAATGAGTTACACTCCCTTTGCAAACACCCACATCTAAAAGGTTTGGCACTGGCATGCAATAGAAACAACCAGGATTCAGATTTTTTTTATGAACATTTTAGTCAAACCTAGATGCATACTGAGGCTTTACCAACCTGTCTCCATTCCGATCTGCAACACAGCTCAGACCAGGTGACTCACTCAACCGAGCGTACACTCTTTGTTGTCCTGAAACAAGAGAATGTCTTTCTTCTGAGCCAGTTCCACCTAGTCGTCGTCCTCCTCCTTCAGCTCCATCACCACCCGTCGTACTTGTGACGGCTGATAACTCTGAGCTTGCCTCTGACCCCTGACCGTTGTTTAGCCCGTTGAGATTGATCCCTGCTATGGTTCCCCCAATGGAGGCTGGGGTGGTTGTGCTGAGAGAATCTACTCCCATCTCTGAGTCATCTTCTGGCAGTTCAATAGAGCCACTCAGCACCACACCCCCTGCGCTGGCTGCACTGGCCTGGCTGGCCGGTCGGCCCAGACTTCCATATGGCAGCCCCAGCAGACCTTCTGAGTCATCTGCATTGCTGCATTCCAGCGAGGAATCCTCCACAGGTACCAAGGAGGGGCTGTTGCCAGAGGGCCAAACCTGAACATCGGACATCTCCATTAAGGTGTCTTCTTCTGTGGTGGCAATTGGTGCACAGTCCAGGCTGGACACTTCCTGCCAGTAAGACTCGGCACCCAACGGAGAGGGCAGGCTGTACTGCATTGAGGCCGGCGAATGGAGCTCCTCCTGCGCAAGCCCATAACCTGGAGCGAGACAGAGAGAGGCACGCTGACACCCGGCCCCCCCGCCTCGCTCTCTACCTCACCCCCACAGCACTGGGACCCTGGGAGGAGGTAAGTGCCCCAGCCCAGGAGCTGGGCATCTCGGGGAGGAGAAGAGGAGGCTGAAGGGACAAATGGGAGAGGAGTGGGAAAGAAAAGAGGGGGTAGGGCCAAGACAACAGGAGCTAGAACATAGGTGCAATTAGCTAAAAGAGCAAGGGCGGCTTTTAGAAGAAAGGTTGTCAAGCTCAATCAGCCAATGTTGATGGTGCGAGCAGTGACAGTAACAGCAGCAGACACAGCCAATCGGACCAACTGACTGAGACCAAGGTTCGACCCCAGCTGTGGCTGGTGCTGCTCTGCTGGCTGCCACCTGCAGGGAGACGAGACGGATTACTGATCCCTATCCAGCAGGGACACAAACTCCCATTCTGAAACACACATATCCACCCACTCAGTGATACATGCATTCAAATTGTCCCAGGAACAGGCAAGTTGTTTTTTGTAGTCAGGCTGGAAACATGCAATCAGCAGGCAATCCCATTTTCTCATCAGACATAATTTTACACACACATGTCCACTAGGGATTGATGGGTGTCAGTTTTCACAGCTATTACAACATTATTACCACTTAAGAAATTTCAAAAATAGAAATCATTTGTCACATTTTGAAACAAACCCAGGGACATATGACTGCTTAACAAACATAACAACAATGCAAGCAGGAAGATTTGTCAGCCTCTGAGGAATCGTCTCAAATGGGGTTAGATTTTGAATTTTACTGAAGTACTAAGGCGGTCTCTTTTTGTACTAACCATGTTGAAAGGAAGTAAAAGTCCACCAAATGACTTATCAGTGCACTGATGATTAATATTAGGCAAATGGCTAATACGAAAAAGGCACTTGTAAAGAGGAACTTGAATGTTTTTCAATGAGTCTGAATTGCACTTGATCATCTGTAGCTCAAAATCCCAAGCTGCTCAAATCATGGTTAGATGATTCTGCACCACACATTCTGCAAACCACAATTTAAGATTCATAAAACCCTTCAGACAAAAAACACATTGACTTTGAAAAATGCAATCAAAATATTTTAACACCATTAATTCCATTTGAAGAACCTACACCAGTGGTTTATGACCCTAAAAGATGAGGCACCAATTAGTCTGAATACTAAGCAAGTTAACTTGATTGTTAATGGCGTTTTTCAAAAATTATTAGCTATGAGCAGGTTGGGAAGCCAGTTCACCTAAAAGCAATTAAATACTGACATATCTTTGCTTTACCTCTTTATGTTATAATGTGTCATAATACTGTGAAAATAATATTTTTACTCAAAGTTATCATACCATTAAAATCTCAAACCAACACATTCCCAACATCATCACACAGTGTTCTCTCTCTGACACAGGTGCTCATCTCCATGCATGCAAAATGCCGCTACACAGTTAATACTAACGTAACACTCAGGTTTGTAAAAGCCACATAGTTGCTAACAAAAGCAATAGTTTAATGGATTTTCCAAAATCAGTCAGTAAGACATGTCAATGTGATGTGGACTCAGGTCACTCCTACAGAATGTGTTGGAATCACCTTAATACCTACGTTTTGTCCAATAAAGCTTGACATTGTAGTTACTAATTTACAGTAAGGAGAATTTTGTCTTACATAAAATACAAATAGCAGCCCCAGGAAGAGCAAGTGACTCTTCCTTGGAAATTAGTTGAAGATTAATGTAATGTATTGGTGATAATATAATTTTAAATTTCATGGTTTATTGATGAAGATGAAACTAAGCATAGGTAGAATCAAGTGAGGTGGTGCAGGCCGTACTGTAAGTACAGAAAAAGTGAGACTGACTGTATCTGTACACGGCACAGTGAAGAACTCACTCCACAGAGCACAGGGTGTAACACGAGTCACAGTCCGCTGCAGACTTTTGCTGAGGCTGCACAAGATATCTGAGACACCAAGAGGCAAAAAGACCCCTTGTCCTACTTTCTCTTTTACCCTCCACACTGCAGTCCAATTAAGTGTCACAGGCAGTACAATAAAACACATTTTTCTTTGCTTTTGAAGCATCTAATTATACAACAAAAGCTATTTGAATATAGCAGGGGAGGATCTTCAACTCAAATTCATCCAAATGCAATTTGAATTTAAATGATTGGGCACATGGATCACTTCTGTTTCTAGCAGAGCTATAAACAGAGGCTGGGACACTTCCATTGTATTTGTCGATGTTTTGTAGCTAAATGTGAAATATCTGCATCTCCCTCATAAAGCTCCTGCAGAACTTAACACGAGAGCCTTCTCTCTTTTATTAAGTTTGGAAATTATCACCTTTCTTCATAGGCTGTACACAAATAGTGAGATTTTCTCATACATAATGTTTGACTCCTGTGAATTTTCTCTCCAAATATAAAATACAAACACCCCAGTCAATGGAGCAAATTTAAACGTCAGAAAAAACAAAGCTGAGATTCTCCAGTGGTCAAGTTTATATCTGGGTTTAATTTTCTATATTCAGAGGGACTGAGCATCATTATTTAAAGAACGGATTGTCAAACACTTGCATGCATACAGTCAGGCTGGAGAGAACAGGGAAGCCAGTAATACAATCCGCAGAGAAAGACTTCATTGTTCGCCAAGGACAAGATTACACTTCCAGATCTTCGGCTAATAGCGGTCAACTGCTCTTTCCATGTTCTTTAATTGTCTATAAAATCATTACATTTATCAAAAAATATTATTAAAACGAATGAATAAAGATTTTAAAAAATGGTTTTAAATAATATCCAATTTTAAATTTAGCTAGAATCTACTGATCACAGGCAGCTTTTTGAAAACATGATCATTCCTGATCATGATTTCAATAATTACAACTGATATTGTGATGCTAAGATAAATATGTCCATTGTGGGAAACTGGGGAAAGCAAACATCTTGACCAGTTTTTATTTCACTTAGACCCTGGGAGGATAACAATAAAATTGAAAAACATATGTAGATATTGTGCTTTCTGCCATAAGTACAAGTACTTAAAAACACCTTTTATAAATTTAGGAAAATGACACATTTTGAAATTTGTTCTACTACTAACTTTATATTCTCTCTGTTCTTCTGTATACAATACGTGTTGATCTTGTGTTTAGTGTTTTTTCCTAAACAAAATAGATCATTGACGGATCTTTTACTGCTATTACATTTGTGTAATTCCTTGTATCATGTCCCATAAAAACTACTCTTGACTCGATGCATTCACTACCAAGTAAATTACTCTAACGTTATCAGCTGGATTTCCTTGATTAGATAACATTTTAACTGAAAACGCTGAATTAATTTGACTGTTTCTTATTTTAATTTGGACGGATTAGGTCTGTATGTAGCTGACATGAACCTAACTTTGCTTGTACTGTAAGGAACTATTATTAAATTAATCATGTTAGAAGTGAATTAACTCCTTTGTAATGCATATGAACAGAACTTGTTGTCTTGTAAAGAGCTTTTAGATAATCATTTTGTGCTTTAGACATAAACAGGATCAACTGTATGTAACTGAGTGAAATCTAGTGTGTGGGCTTCATAAGGAAGTTGTTTTACACACAATGTTAGAAAATTTTAAGGATTACTCCTTGATTTGGGTCAGTAGATGAAACATTTGGGAACTAGATTAACATGATTTACAACTTCTGATGCAAATACTTGGAGCAAACCTGACTTGAAGATAAAATATCAGCTTTGCATTCGAAAGCTATGTTCATAACGCCAGAATGTAGAACATAAAAAATGTTCTTTACATCTGACACCAGATCTGTTCTGATTTTAGCGCAATCAAACCTTTGCTTGTCACCAAAGTGACAAGATGCTAGATACTAATGATTTTTTTGGGGGGGAAATACAAAAATTAATAAACGGGGAGGCATTGTCTGAGCTCCTGACTGAAATGTAAAAGTAAAGTATCAGAAGTGAAGGTTATAAAAAAAGAAAACAACATGTAAAAAAAAATTACTCTTTTTGCCTGTTCACACATGGGCACACATGTACAAACAGCAGTAGTTTCTAAATTAAAGCACATAAAAACACTCACGCAGATACACCTGCAGACTGATTTGATAACTCACATTTAACAAAATACATATAGAGAAAGGAGGACTAACTGACAATCAAAGAGATGAAAACAATTTACATTAAACTCAACACACACAAAGCAATAATAACATTCATACAAGAACGAAGCGGAAACAAGTCAAAGTTGACAAAAAGGACTGCAGCCTTTTTACCCCCACTATGACTGATTATTGAGGAGGAACAAGACAGGCTGCAGAGTCGTTCTCAGTATATTTATAGCATGCCATGCAAAGAAACGTCTTTTGGTCGAGCTGCTTCAATGCTGTGATCTCAGACAAGTTAGTGGTAGTGCTGCGCATCCTCCCAGTGCATCCATGCAAACACAGAGGGAGATGAGCAATGAACGTCTGGTGCACATGCAGTCATGCAGGAGGGAAAGGGAGAAAGGGCAGGGAAAAGAGGGGAAAGAACAGAGTGGGGGAAAAGAGAAGGGAGCAAGAGAGAAAGAGGAGTATAAACAAGAGTGATGAACACAGACAGAAACAGTGTGACAAGAGCGGAAGAGAGAAAGACAGAGAGGATCACCTCCCCCTCCCAGTGGGTGCTGAAAAAACTGTTTGTGAGGGATATTTATCACAGAGGGGACACTTATAAAGGTGGGGCTTTCGAGAGGTAAAATAAGGGGAAAGTAAATGCACCAGTCGCAAAAAAAGAGAGAGAAAAAAAAGCTTAAGATGTGGGTCAGAGGTCAACATGAGGTCGGCATGAGGTCAGAGTTTGGAGAGAAGTGAGGAGGAGGAAGAGTAGGGCGGCTAGGCTGCAGATGACATGTCCAGAGAAACACAGAGAGGACAAGATTCACAGGGAATGAAAACACGGCTCCCAAAAAGACATTCAGTGCACCAACATCAACCCTGGACAGACTCAAACTACTCAACATGCAACCACAGGCAGAAAGAATTTAGAGACAGAAAAAAAGCCTACAGAGTAGGTTTTAGTTGTGAAAAAAGATCTGCAAAGATGCTTTGATTGAACAGAGGAAAATTATTTATGGTTTATTTAAAATACAGCTCTTTTATAAGATTAGAGCTAATATCTGGCACTGGTATAGTTTGAGATGACTGATATGATTCATACAATACTTAAATAAATATGAGGCAGCCATTGTGTTTCATAAAGTCTGTTGTATTATATGACTGGGACTTTTCCACATTTTGTCATATTACCACCATAAATGTAAACATATTTCATTGGACAATGTAGTCATCATTGTGAAGTGGAAGGAAAATAACCCATGATTCAACATCTGCCTCTGTTCAGCCTAATATTCAGCCTAATTTGGTATGATATCCCTAAATAAAATTCAGCACAACTAATTGCTGTTAAAATTTATCTTATTAGAGCCATATGTGTGTAATTTGGCCTCAGCATAAATTCAGCTGTAGGTGTTTGTTAGAGAACATTAGAGAACATACAGAATCAGGTAGACCAGTGGTTCCCAAAGATTTTCTGGGTCCTCCTATGGATTACAAATCCCCTGCCAGAAAGACGAAAAAAAACCCAACTGGGCACGCACATCGTTCAACCAGGCATAAGCCTATCCACATATTTTGTTTTCAAACTCCCTGAAGTTTATTTCATACTTTAGGTTGCAACAAAACACACTGCAAACCATCTTTACAGTGAAACACTTTTGTGGTTTCATTCATCCATACAGTTTCCCTCGCCCCCCCAGCAATGGTATTGCAACCCAAGCAGGGGTCGCGCCCCACACTTTGGGAACCACTGATGTAGACCGAAGCAGGTGGATCCGGGAGAAAACTGTGGACATGTTTATGGTAAATGGTACATATAGTTCAGTATTAAGACAGTGTGCCAGGCTTTGATAATCTCATAGAACAAAAATCAACAATTATGTCCATAAGTGTGGAGAACCGGTTAACAGGACAATGATTAGAAATCATGTTATTTAAGGAGGACGGAAAGTTGCTGTTGAAAGTAATTTATAACTTTACCACAATCAACATAGGGGATACAGCAAATACATGGAGGAACATACTTTTGTTGAATGAAAAAGAAATGTAGCCATTTGACTAAACGTGAAAATGTCGGTGTTGCAGAAAATAATTTCTGTTGCTCTAACAAAATAATGTTCTTGGTTGCAATATGCCAAAGTGTAAAAAAGTTCAGGAATAATGACTCTGACATCTGGGTATTTTTACTTAACTTCAGACTGTAAACGTCATTTGTTAAATCCTCTAGATTTTTTTTGAAAGAAAAAATTTCATGCTGCCTTTATTACCTCATTAAAACGTAAAAAGATGCTAGCATTTCGCCATCATGGTCACATTGCATTGCATAGTTACAGTGCTGATTATTGCTCCATTTTTCATATGCAGGACTGGCTGCCTCATTGTCTGCACACTTGGACAAAGAGGAGCTCACAAAAGCCCAGACGTGAAAATGAAATGAATCAGACACAAGGTATGCATGAATGAAGGAAACCATGAGGAAAAAGAGAACATGGATAATTGTGAACCAACTCATGAACTATTTATACATTTATTTATAACTTCAGTTAAGGCAGAGTAAGCATAGCTTATTACATTTCTTACAAGAGTATGACCTTAAAACTCAGCCAATCAGAAATCCTCCTCTGCAAAAATTGCAGAATGACATATGAAATGTCTAAAAAAATTCACATCGAAGGGATTAACTTATTATTTTCAGAAAGATGCTGTATTTCAAGAAGAAAATTGAATGTATCTAAATGCTGAAAACAATTCAGGAAGCTCAAGAAAACAGGAAGTATTTGGAGTTGAATTGGTAGGTTCACGCAACACGTGTAAAGCATTTCGATCATAACCTCCAGAACTTGAATTAACTGCATTTTTATTGGCAAAATGGGGATACTTAATCTGTGAGATAAATAAGAAGATCACAGTTCCATCAAAAAAAAAAAAAACATTTTCAATAATGTCAGTAACCTATAAGCATCCACCATTTAATCCCCATTCTGACAATGAGCCATACAGCTTAAAATTGATAAGCAAAGGGTTTACAGGGGTGTAGGAGTGTCCTGAGTCCCAATGCATATAGCAGAGGTTAAATCCTGAGGAAGGTCACATTTGTGTCAGTGTCCCCAAGGTGGGAAACAAAAGACATGAGAAGAACAGAAGAGATTCAAAAGGAATCAAATACCGCTCGTCCTTCAAGGGTTCATTGGGTAAAGACACATACTATATATTCCAGTCTATTTGTGGATTTTTCTGTGAAACTTTACTCCAAATTCTTTCTGAAAAATCTGTATAATCTGGGATTTTTCTATAGCTGAGATGTTGGCTGATGTTTGCAAAGCAGCCAATCCGTCAGATACATTAATTTTCCTTGGCATCAATTGCCCGTACCCACAAGAGACACTGTGAACGTTAGCTTCCAGTTCTGTGAAAGCACCAAGATAGTTTTCAAGTAATAATGCATATTAAGGAATATGTGATTTCTGAATTGTTAAAATATGGAGTTAAAAGCATATTTAGAGGTGGTCTCCAGTAGTTATGTTTAGCTGTTTGCAGTAAGTTGTGGTTCCTCAGTGTTGTGAATTTTGGGGGTCCACTATAAACTCTCTATCAACTTCTCAAACTTAAACTTGATGCTTCTTTGGGTGTTTGTTAGGAAAATGGAGAAGTCAACAAAACTCTCAAACTTTCAGCACCACTGAATGAATATTAGCGGAGCAACTCTGGGTCAGGGCATACGGCGCAGGAGGACTGGGCTGCACTGTTGAACGTTGGCAGAAAACTTACCATTTGTCATACCAGGGGAGAGATGGTCTCTGTCGTTGTGTCGCCGTCTGTTCAGGTCACGGGAGCCTTGTCTCATAGGCTGGGGCGGGTGACCCTCCAGCATGTTGATGATGTCCATACGGTCAATGTTCTTCAGGGCGGTGTATAAACTCTCCACTGAATGGAAAACACACAAAGTCACACTAAAGAAGGTGAGGCAAACAAGTTCTCTTCATGGTGCACTAAGGAAGGACAGTGTCCATATCATCTAATCTTGATATGAACAGAAAATGCATATCAATTTTTATCTTCAGTGTTATGTGTTTTGTCTAAATTTTTGGTCTTTGTTTTGTCTGTCCTCTCTAAAAACAAATTACTGTGAAAATTAGACACTCGCCATTTAACAGTCCAGGGGATCATCCAGCAGATACTGAGAGAAAGCAATGCAACATGTGGTTGCATTGCCTTCTCATATTTCATTGACTCACTTTTGGCCCTTTTGCCTTCACGCGTTGCCCACAAGTTGAGCAGCGCGGAGCTCTGTTCGAGGAGGGAGTTCGGATTCTCAACTCGAATCCTGTTGATATCGTCTACACTCAGCTGTAGCTCACGCGCTAACTCTGTTCAGAAAAAAAGAAAACATAAATGATGATTTCTGAATCGTGTTTGAGGCCAGTATCCCACCGCTACATGGAGACCCTAAAGAGGAGGAATGATCTCTCTGTGTAACAATCAGAGAGGGAAACAATACAGAAGTTTGTATAGTTTGATACCAGGTTGTACCCTGTCAGCTGTGCCAGCCATGCTTGTTAGACATTAGATAAACACAGATGGTAAATGTAAAAAGCAGCTTCAGCATACTCTCAGTGTTTACTCACCAGCCCAGCTCAGGCCCAATTGCTCTGCGATCACTGCCATCTTCAGCTCCGTTCTCTCCATTGCACTCATGGATGCTGCAGAAACAGCACCAGAAACGAACGGTCGCGTGAAACCTCCAAGATATCAAGTAAATGTAATAATTAATCCAGCTGTTACTCTCTTACCCAAAGCGGGTTCATTTAGGGCGCTGTATCTTTCTCTCAAAGCCAAAGGGGTCAGTGTTCGCCTCCTATCTTCACTACCAATAATCTAAGTGGTAAGCAAAAACGATTAAAACTAAAACTCTGGAAAACTAATGCCATCAAGCATAGTTCAGCTCAAAATTACTCATACCCCTTCCAAGTGTAGATTTAAAACTTTTAGTAATATTTTGTCTGACAGAAAGCAATAATTTACTCAGTCTTATATAGAAAATCTGTGCAGAGTGGTAAAAATAAAGGTGATGACCCTCAAAGGCTTAAAGCTCATCAGCAAAAATAAATAATCAAAATACCAGTGGAAAACAGGGAGAAAGGTTTCATTCCTGTTGAGCATGTAAAGATTCTTATGTGATTATTGTGAAGGATATAAACATGTTTAGATATGTTATTTTATTATATATAAATAAGAATTTCTATTCTAATAGGAGACTATGAGATTTCTTGTAGATTCTTGTTAATTTTGGGGAAGCATCTTTTTAACTTACTAGAAGAAACAATATTTTTGATTGGATGAAAAATCTAAATTTGCCCAGGGTATGAATAATTTTGGGCTGAAGTGTAGATTGTATCTTGTTTTTTATCCACTAAATTATCACCTTGATACAAGGAGGCATAGTGATATTAAGGTTGCAGAGTACTTGTTGGCTGTCCTCATATTTAGTGGACTTCCGTAGGAAAGATAAAAATCCAGTAGGCTCTTTGCTGCTGTCTCTCACCTGCACAGATAAAGGGTATCAGCAGAGAAACACAAGAGATGATGTAGTGACAGTGGGTTGACTGTTTGGCTGCTAAAGGTTTATTTGAACCATTCTTTTTCTGTGGTGGGGTGTTTACGCATACTTTGATGTAAAACTGATTTTGTAATACAGAAATATGGCAAATATGAAGGTTTTCAATGGCTGCATCTTTACTCATGAGAATAGCATGCAAGTAAGATATTGGAGCTTAAATATTTATTTTGCCATATTATTACCCCAAGTTAAACCCCATAACTATCAACTAATAGTGGTCCTATCAGCTCAATCTTTCACCTAAGCTGTGGGTCATAGCAGTTCCTCCAGAATCACAATGACCGTCTTGACTTTCCCTTTTCTTCAGCTGTAAGACTCTTTTTTTGGTTGCTGTTGTTCTATACTTCCCATTTCCACTTTTGGACGTTGATCATTACTGTGGGAGATGTTTAAAGTTGGCAATATTTTTATAATTTTACCCAGCTTTAAACTTTTCAATAGGTTTATCCTTGATCTGTATGGACTTCTTGGTCTTCATGATGCCGTTTGTGAAATTAAACAGAAGTGGATATTTTTTTACTAATGAGGTGACTTGATTGGACTAAATTTAATTTGAGCAAAAACAAAAAAACATTCTCTGTTACTTAATAATCCAACAAAAGAAGACTTGTAGCATGACAAGATGTTTGAGATATAGGAGATATGAATATTTTTGCATTGCATAATGTAATTGTGACCTGACCTCCAATTTAGGACACTGTATTTTGCATCTTCAACTCATCTAAAAAAAAAAAAAAAAAAAAAAAAGCCTACGGGCGTCATTAAAAACCTGCACTTAATATGATAATCATGGCCATGATGAGTGGATGTGACCTTGTTTCTGACACCATGAAACTCCAGAAAATCAAATGACACCTTGACAGAGACCGGAAGCCTGTTGTCCCTGAAAGCCTGGAAACTAAAGCAGCGAGGCTGCTGTGTAGCCTTCCTCACTGGCACCAGATTTCCTGAACACTCCAGGTGAAGTGGCATTCCCTCCATCACCTGCAACACATTCGCTATGATTAGTTATGGGTTTCTTAATGATGTCAACGAGGAGTAAGTCTCAGGTGTCTGTCTTGTTCTTCCTGACATTCAACTGACCTCTATGTCTCGACTGCGGGCGACTTCGGTAAAGTTCTCGTGCTGTTCTAGAGTTTTATCCATCTTATCGTCTGTCATGCAGTAGCATCGCAGACGGCCCTCGCGCAGCTCGTTCATCTTTGCAAACACTACAAACTTGGCCATGTAGGGTACAGCTGATAGCTCTTTATAGAGCAGGTTGGCAAAGGAGACGGCCTCAGCTGTCCGAGGACAGTCTGCCAGCCAGAACCTATCAGCAAACAATGACAAAGAATCACAATGTTGAACACAAATCCAATAAGAAAAGTGGCGTCTTGGCATTTTATTTTCAAGAGGATGATACTTTTCTGTGTTTATATTTGATAAAGTATCCAGCTGAACTTACCGTGCAGAAACATTAGTGGTAAAGCTGGCGCAGTCACTGGCATAGAGCAGCTTGGTGGTGCCAGTAATGTCTTCCCACTGGGCTGGGGCTGTTCCACCTGGCAGGCAAACAGCGTGGGAAACAGGAAACTCAGTGACCAAAGGTAGAGGAGGGATGTCCAATGATAATCAACATCTTTTTACGCCAGCAAACATATTGAATAAAAGTTTTCCTTTTTATTATAGTAATCTGGTCCCATAAACACAGACACCTCACAGTTTGGGCATGCAGTACCTATAACAGAGCAGAGCAGACGCAGACTGGTGGTGTCGCCTTCGCCTGAGTCACGGGGACTCTCCCTCCAGGAGGGAGGCAGGGGGATGCGCAGGCCGATGGGGCGGTGAAACTTGCGCCGCCGAGGCTCCACAGTGACTACAGGGCTAAAGTTTGCTTGGTTACCCAGCAGTTTTGCAACCAGCTCATCTGGAACTGGCTGGGCCTGAGGTGGTAAACGACAGGGGCAGGAGACGCACCAGGGTCACAGGTTGGAAAACATGTATGAAAATAGTGGTTGTATGAAATGAATTAAATTAAAAAAGGATCACAGAAGAGGTAGTAAAGTATAGGAAGGTCATGGAAAGATGACAAAAATAAAATAAAAATCAGGGATGAGGAAATGCAAAGAACAGGAGAGAAGAATGAAAATGCACTAATTATAATTAGCTTACTTTTTCAGGAACAAATAAAAGTGACACAAACTGGATGTATGCGTATAAAAGTGTTTTTTATTGTAACAGTGGGTGTTAACAGGAAGCTTTTACAATCATTAGTACAAAAAGGATATCAAAAATTAAGGCAACTTGGTTTCTCAGACCTAGGTTCTCTAAAATAGCATCTTAGTTAAATAAATGAGATTCTAAATATATTGAAATGATTCAAAAAATCTTTATAAAAAAGCTCATTTTACAATCTTTTTTATTTGTATCTTGTTACATTCAGTATCTTAAGTATGAGGTTACAAAATGACTATGTCTGTAAGGCATATTTATCTTTACGAAGAGTGAAATGTGTTGAAATATGTTCATCCAAACAAATTTGGATGAACAAGTATTTTATTTTTACTTGTTGTTTTGGTCTTTTCAAGTTTCTGCCAGATGGTAAAAACCTACTGAGGAATAAAAAAATGTAATTCAATAATCAAATCTGTTTGGCAGCTTCAGAAAACAGAAAATATATTGTCTTTAGCAGCTAAATTTACTCTCAAATGAACAGAAACATATGTCACAATAAGCTTTTTCACCATTATTTATATAGTTAGTTTTTCAGGTCATAGTTTCAGAGGTACCATCCAGTTACTGCTGAAGACTAAATCTGTCAGTTGCGTTAATTTAAGATTGTAAAGCTACTTTCAAATTATTTTGCGTCCATCACATTAAAACTTATTTGCAGAGGAGAACATCATTTATCCTCCATTACAGTGGACTTTGAAGAATTTTACATTTTTATCTATGCAATAATATAAATGAAGATGTACCTCAGGGTTTTCTAGATGTTTATTGCTAAAGGTCTTGGATAATTAAACAAAATGAGAAAATACTGTTTGTTTAGAAGAAATGCTAAAAGATTCTTAAACTTGGCTGGCAGCAAAGCTTAAACTTATACAACATAATCTGAGTTTCTGGAACAAACTATGCAGAGAACAAAATGGAAATAGAAAGATTTTGCCATGACGATTTTTGAAAACCAACGTTAGCACAAACAACTTTGAACGTATTGACTGTCAGACATGTTGGCAGAGGGTGATAAAACGGGTTGCAGCCACAAGAGCTGATCGTTTGAAAAGGAACTCTGTCGCCAAAATGTCACGAGAGTCAAAGCTCGGATTAAACTGCATCATGCAACAGAACTAGGAGGTAAACACAGCAATGACTCTACAAGGGAATGGTTCAAAAAGAAAAGAAGGAAAATGCTGCAATGCAATTTTTAACACCTGAAGCCCAAAATGATGAACATTTCACACCAGTACTGTCAGATAACTCAGATCCCAATGAAACAATTCAGTAAAGACAGAATAAAGCAATAATTATTATTGTTATTAGCCTATTATGTAAAATCTTAGAACCATAATTCATTTCTTGAACTACAACTGTAGATACATTTTAAAAGTAAAAACAAAGAAAATATTCAGTCAATGATAAATGCACTGAAATAGGACCACTGTGTCCAAATACAGTTAAAAATTTACAGCTAAATGTTTAACAATATCTAATTCCAAACTTTAAATTTAATCTTAGATTTTTATAATTTAATATCTAGAACAAACAAACAATGAGGTCAAAGTGAAAATGAAGGCCTCAATAGAGAATACAATTAGATTATATTATTGTCTGAAGTTTTTTTAGAACAAAAATAATTTTCTTTAGTTGTGTTTAATTGATATCAAAAGTTCAGCTAATAAGAAAATTGTTGAGCAAGAAAACTGGTTTAAAAACCTTTTTGTGCAGCAAAACACTTCTTTCCTTTTAAGATGAAAACATTCAAGCACATTTAAAACTGAAAAATACATACAAAGTCTTTCCAGTCAACAAAAAATCAAACAGATATAAATCCTTAAGCATCTCCAATGAATGTGTTAAATATTTGATATACAGAGTTTGAAGGTGACATAAATACATTAGTAATAGAATAAAATAAAGAAAATAAAATCTCAACACTAACAAGGCAGTCCAGGGTTGCATAAAGGTGACAGGTGCATGCAAAATGAAAAATGAAAAAAAAGGCAAAAAGGTCCTCTAGGATTCTTAAAAGCAACATAACAAGCTTGGCACATGTGACATGACTTCATGATGAATCAAAGTAAATTCAGCATGCTTTCTTTCAGGGATTAACGACTCCGTTTCTCCTCTCCTCTCCTTCCTCCTCATCGTCCCATCTCACCTGCAGTCCGAGGCGGACCCTTTTTGTGACCGCTGTCTCTGGAAACGTTGCCTGCACCATCGGCACTAGTTTACTGGTAAGTGAACCTCCCTCTGGACCAATCAAGTCACTCTCTTGTTGGACTCTTGACACAACAGCGAAGTAAAGAGGGAAGTCAGTAGAGATGATGCGGCGGATTCGCTTCTTGCTGAGTTCCTCTTGACTTTCTAGTTCTGTGGTGAAGAAGTAAGGGTTATGCTTCCAAAAACCTGAAACCACTGGAGAGTATCTGCCTCTCAGTTTAAAACGAACTCTGACGGACGACAACTCACCCTCATCCATCCCATTTAGGATGGTTTCCAGCACCTCGTCACCGTAGCGGTTGCGGTGCTCCTTCCAGACGGATCCATTCTCACTCCTGAGCACAACAAGCTCTCGGTCTCCACGACCCAGAGCAGCAAAGTGGGGAATCTCCACAATCACCGGTCTGCCAAGCAAACAGAAGTGAATCAGAATCTATAGATATAAAGCGACTAAACACACAAAAGAACTGAGGCACACAGATCCATTTGATAACACAGTCAAGTAACTATGTTCCCTCCAGTTATAAAAATACTGCATATACCGAACATGAAATTTAACTTTGCAATTTAATGTGAGCTTTGAAATTGGGCCTCTGTTTCTTTAAGAAGCTCCTGCTCATTCCAGCACACAGAGTTCAAACATGTTGATTTTACAAAATGCCCCCCCTTTCAACAGAATAGCAGCACTGTGCTTGGCTCACCCCAGAAACTGCATCCCAGCTGGACCCAGGGAAATAATCCTGCTGGCCAGCCCCTCTCCCTCCACCAGAGGAGGGGGGCTGGTCAGCTTCTGCGGCTTCACCAGGCGGCAGGTAATGCGAGTGGGTGCCGCACACGTCCGTGGAGGTATGATGACACGCAGACCATTATGCCTGCTGCCTCGCATTGAACCGCCTCGTGCATCCACCATAAAACTGACCAGAAATCTGTTGCAGGGAGAGAAAAAAAAAAACAATGACGTGGTTAAAAAAGCAGAAGAACTGAGGTTGGGGAATAAAAATTGTCAGGCTCTGCTGTGGCTCTCCTGACCCTGTGTGGATGGGACTGGCGACTGGGCTGACATTGTCAGACGTCTCAGTTGCTGGACTGCTGGGAATCAGTGAGTCCTCGTCATATTCTTTGGGCAGTGGAAGTGGTGTGTGTTGCTAAATGACACAGAAAACATTATTCATGAATACTTTATGTGGAACATTTTACAATTCAGTAAGTGCTTTTAAATCTGTATTGAAATTGTTGATATATAATTTCACCATCTTTTACAATCTGCAACATCTCTTAATGGCTTCAGAATTGCATTCTCCATTCTGAGGTTTTATCACAACCTTCTCAGATCAAGGACTGGAGTTCTCCATTAATTAAAACAGTATTAAAAATGGATGCAAAAATATTTTTGAAGGGAGAGAATAAGTTCATTTATATAAAACCTTTGAACTTTTAAAATTTTAATACCTTCTGATATTCTGAATGAAAATTAAGACAATAAAAGGCACTACCACCAAATTGCATGTCCTTGTTAAGGATGCCTTAGAAATAAAGTGAAAACTGAAACAAGACAGATATGACCACATGACTGAATAAAAAAAAAAATCCCTGTAACTATGATGTGATATTTTCAGTTTGCTGCATTTCTGACTCTGGCCTTTGCAGTACCTGATCTATTTCATGTTCTGGCAGATTCATATTCTCCGGGGAGACACGGGGAATCCTGGGAATGGCAGGTGAGTAATTCCTGTTGTAAGAAAAGAGGAAAAAAGATGTGAGACTAAAAACACTTCTTCACATCTCTGCTCCTCCCAAGCAATCGTCCCGGGGTTTAATTTTGTCTTTGGAGCGACCCTTATTCCCCATCCGGCTACTGGCTCATGACTACTGGCTTTGGCTCGTTTCCCTGCTCCCCCTCCCAGCCCCCCTTACGCTGTGCCCAGCCCTCTCTCGTACTCCAGTGATTTCTTGGGGGAGAGGAAATCGTCATCATGGTCTTTCATGTCATCCATCTTCATGTACCTGGCCCCTTCTGTCCCCAAGAGCTCCTCTCCTTCAGAGAACAACATGCCAAAGAGAGCGAACAGATCGTTGTCAGGTTGGTGACACAGCACAGGAGAAAGAGAGAAAGAAAACAAGACTGTTAACGAGCTGTTAGAAGAGTTAGACAGCATGACACCCAGAATGATGGCTGTGATATTTAGAGATTAGACTGATGACATGAGACACTAATGACCATGTTTGTCTTCACACTGAACTCGTATCGCTGCTTCCACAGACATAAATGGAGACGTTCAACAAATAAATGAGGTTATGAGCAACACTACAAATCACAGTTTTGATCTCAACTTGGTGAAACATTTAAAGCAAAAACTTCTGGATATGATGTCAAAATCACACAGGACGGCTCAAAAACGAGTTTTAGTTCAAGGACTTCTTAAAATGCAACTGAAAAATCTTAAGACAAAAATGTTGTGCCACATGTAAACTATAGATGCTGTTTTACCTCATTAGGATTTTAGTAATCCACAGCACAAACAGTATCTCTGAATACAACATGAATCTGAATAGCATCTTGTGAGACGATTTGGGTTTGGTTATTTACCCCCAGAGGAGAGAAAAAGCAATTGATAACCAGCAGCAAAAGAAAAATAAGGCTTCCCTGTGTCGGTTTCTTACATGAGTGTGTGTCTGCACTGTCCGCAGCATCACGAGTCAGCTCAAGTCCTCCATATCCGCTGCTAAAATTTGATCGTATGCTAGAAAGCAGGCGCTTCACAATATATATGCTGTCACTTTACCATTCTGGATCTGTATCTTTAAGACTGCGAAAGAGCTACTTTCTATATTTAGAGACAATCTGTTCATCGAACTATCAGGGGACAAAAAGTATAAAATCATGATATGCTGAGACATAACTATCAACAGCATTGTAAAATCAAACTACCAGGCATGATTTTTAGCCACTACAATGAAACATAAATAAAATCAAAAACAGATCCCTTCTAAACGGACATACATGTTTAGAAGGGATTTGCTTTGTTTATCTAAATAATCTGGGTATCCCCTAACACTGTAAAGCTGTTGTGACACCATTTCCTCACATTTTGCTGAACAACAAAGTGTTTTGACATCTTTTAACTGTGTTATGCAAGTGTTTTGGGGCGTATAGTTCAATGTTTTACTGCATCAGGGGAGAGTTAATATATATCAGTGCAGATAGAGTTTCTGCTCTGCGTAGCATGAAATAAATAACTTTTATTATGAGTCATTGCTGTGATATTTGAGTATCACCTGCTTTACTTCAGTGGCAGTGGTGTGTATGTGCAATAAATGTGAATTCTGAGAGTTGTGTCACTAATGCTACTTCATTTTCTGACAGAAAGAATCTGTGTGACTTTAGCTTAGAGTGCAATCAAATTGTGGATGTTGCAGAATCAAATGTGTAGGAAGATGTGGCTGGAGCGACTTTTATCTAAGACAATGCATCTTCCTAAGGAACTGAAATAACAATCATACAATGTAGTGATGGGAGGACTAATGTTGTTTAACCTTTAAATTACATTCTTAAAGAGAGACTGCATTGTCTGCTGAACCCACATGTCTTCGTCGGTTCCTCTATGCTGTGTAGACTTGCTATGTTCAGTAAACATCATTCTGTGTACGGGCGAGATAATAAACTTGTATATAACATTTAATTATTGATAAAGCAGAAGAACAACTTCTTTTCTCACATTATCGACTGGAAATACTTTGAAATATGTCATGAACTATCACCAGGTTTCATCAAAACAGAGGGAAAACATGCTAATGTTAGCCTAACATTTTAGCATAATTATACTCCTCTTGAAAATAGTAGACAAATAATTAATGGCATTGCTAATAAGTCTTCTGTGTGTTTCCATTTGTATTGTGCGAGTTTATCTTTGCTGATGAGCTCCAGATCTGTGAGGTTGGAGGGCTTCCTTGTCATCACCCTAATCTTTAGCTAAGATTTTCCTTCAGATTGAAGTCTAGGCTCTGACTGGGCCTCTCCAAAACATCTATGTTGCTTCCAGTCAGAAGAAAGATTGTTCAGTAAAATAGTATTTATCATAAATATAACTAACTGTATGTGCGTTAAAAGTTGACAGACCAAAAAAAGCTTTTATCTTTTACTCAAAACAGTTGTGTGTATTGAGAAAACTGATTAAAAAAACAGCATGAATGAAAATAATTTGTTAACCAGAGTTCAGAAAACATCTATAAATGATGATTTGTCTGTGTGATCATTTCTCAAGATAAAACTTCTGAGCGCTCATTGGCTGCTAATTATAGCAACCAAGATTAAAACCTCCTTCATCTGTTTTTTTATTCATTTTTAGACTCAACAGCCTACTTGATTAGAAGAACACACAATACAGTCAAAATAGTACAGAAACCAACACTGTAGAACACACACAATAAAGCATTGCTCCCAAAACATACAACACCAATCCACTAAGAATGGTAAAATGTCACAGAGCAGGTATCTGTGATGTTTAGAAAACAATGGAGGAGCAATAAAGGGAGACCTGCAGAGTTAGAGAATGAGGGTGTTACTGAAGGGACGTCGAGAGACATGGGTGCATGCTAGTGAGAAACCAGAGCTACCACAGTGAGCACCACTACAGGCGGACTGAGAAAGAAAGGAAGGGAAACAAAGATGGCGAGAGCTTGAAATGGAGCCACACAGATCTTTACAAAACACTCTGAATGCTGAAAAAAAAAAGAAATAGACGTTCATACCTAACGTTAGCTGTGCAATTCCTAAAAAGAGCAAAGGGCAAAAAGAGTTGAAAAAAACGATATTCTTATATTTCAAATACCCTGAGTTCCCACTGTTTTAGGTGATATTTAATGTTGTACCTTCATCCTCAGACACATCCAATATCTCATCCACAGTTTCTGGAAAACTCATGCGATGCTTCTCTGTTGTCGTCTACAGAGCACAGAAAGAAACAAGAGTCAGGTATGACAGCAATACCGAAAAGGCTCTGTGGAATTGCATTTGCAAACATTGACACTTCTAAACTCCACACCATAGAAACAGTCTCCTCAGTGACGAGCTTCAGGACATCGATAACAGAGATGTATCCCAACCTTTTTGCAATGGCCAGCGCTGACATGCCATGCTGTAAAAAAAAAAAATTAAGAAGAAGAAGAAGATTGCATCAGTGAAGAAAAAAGAATTAGCAGGAAGAAGGCAGTTTGCACACAAACTCACAGTCGTGATCTCATTGGGTTGGGCACCATGTTTTAGCAATAAAGTCACAATGTCTGTGTGTCCTTGCTGCGCTGCCTGATGCAGAGGAGTGTAACCAAGCTGCAAGAGAGACAAAAAGTATACAGTCATTTGTCAATGCATATTTACCTTTTTTTTAAAATGCAGATCTAACATCTAATAAGATGTCAGATTTCAACAGTCAGTGTAGTTTAGTTCTAAGATCCAACCCAGAATTGGTTGCTGAAAGTTTTTCAGGCATCGATGGTGTGAAAACTCACCCTTGTTTTGCTGTTAACATTGGCCTGCTGTTGTATGAGGAACTTCACCATCTTGATGTTGCCGTAATGACAGGCTACATGCAGAGGGGTGTAGCCCATCTGTCAAGAGGAAAAAAACCCATTAAAAACTCTGCATGATGCAATCACTCTGAAGAATTCACTAAATCAATTGTGTGGTTGAATGATCAGACTCCCATTCCTGTTAGAGGTGTTCTGGCTGGGACTGCAGTATGTCTGCTGTGAGCTAACAGAGCCATGTGGCCACAGCTTGCACGACCGGTTTAAACACAAATCAGTCTATATTTGTGTGCATGGCTAAAACGTATTTTAGACATAGAGCATTTTTTGAAACAAATCAAATATATAATGTTTTTTTCACCTTCAGCAATAAGATCCACAGTGAACCTAAATAGGATGTTTCAACTTCTTACCTGTATGTGTCAATGGTGCTTTACGCCGCTGCTCACTAGACAGCTAAAACCTCAAACACTTGTCTTGAAAGTTTAAAAGGCAGGAAACCAATTTTATGTCTCTTTACTTTCCATACAAGTTTAATCAGATGTTCCAATTTTACTCAAGAAATGTAATATTTTTCATATAAATGAGTAATTGTGTCTCAAAATTGTGGTTTTTCAAACACAACCCAAAGCAAAGAGATTTATTTATAGTCCTTGTGTCATACATTTACTATTCTCCAAGGTCGATTTGTCTCTCTGGGAAAGTTTTGCTAAGTATTAGCGAGAGCAAATATTGGCTATTTGGACTCTAAGAGCTCCTGACCCCTGTTGTAAGAAAAAGAAGTGAAGGAGTCTCACCCGTGTGGCAGCATAGACCGAAGCTCCTTGCTTCACTAGGATATCGGCAATGCCTACATGTCCCTCCTGTGCCACCAGGTGCAATGGTGTTAATCCACTCTTAATTCAAGAATAAAAATGCAAATTCATCAAATTAAAGCATCACAACAAAATGCCAAACTTTCAGTTTCACACTTTATCTGTCTCCTCTTGCCTTGTTGCCCAGGTTGACGTTGGCCTGTTTGGAGATGAGCAGGGAAACCATGTCAGGCCTTCCCTCCTGCGAGGCGAGGTGGAGCGGAGTGACGCCCTGCAGTGACTCAGCGTTGGCTGAAGCTCCGTACTGCAGCAGGCTGTTGGCCACCTCCACCTGGTTCTGCTTGGATGCAATGTGGAGGGCAGTGTAGCCATTCTGGACAGCAGAAAGGAGGCATTTTTTTAAAGACTATGTGTGGATTATAAACATTTTCCTGCTTCACTTAAGACCCAATTTTTTTTACCCTGGCAGCGCTATGTGGTGACCCTCCTTTGCTGACAAGCAAGTTAACAACATCCAGGTTGTTGTGATGTACAGCAACATGCAGCGGAGTCAGACCATTCTGTTAAAACAAGATCAGGGATTTACCAAAGGAAACGCTTTATTCATCCAGGTTCCTGGAAGTTTTTGGTTTCCCTCACCTTCCCAGCTGCATTAGGGTTGGCTCCTCGCTCAAGCAGCAGCTCTGCCACGTCCACCTTCCCGTACTTGGAGGCTACATGCAGTGGAGTGAAGCCTTTCTACAAAAGCACAAAAAGGTGAGCGGACACAGTATTAGATTAAGCCCATAAGCCCAACCAAAACTGGCTACATAACAAAACGTCACCAGAATATTTTCTTTTACTTTGGTCATTTTGGTCTGTTGGGCCTCCATGTCCAGTAGGATGCGGACGGTTTGAACGTGACCTTCCCGGGCAGCGATGTGCAGAGGCGTGTGTCCTGCTGTGGTGGTGGAGTTGGGGTTGGCTTTGTGGTCAAGCAGAAGCTTCACCAGCTCTTTGTGACCCATCCGAGAAGCACAGTGCAGAGGTGTTTGATCATCCTGTTGAGGGAGGGGCAAGCAATCAGGAAGAATAGCAGACGTCCTGAAAATCCTTATATATTCCACTACAATGGTTCTGACTTTGACTGTATAGTTGAACAAAATGTTTTAAGTGAAGTTAGAATAATAAGATCTGCTTCAGTGTATCAGTTCTGATAAAACAAATTTAAAATGAGTTAGTCTTTGTAATGAAACCTTGCATTTTGTTTATTTTAATCTACCTTTGCCTTGGCATCCACCGGCGCTGAATTCTCCAGTAAAAACTCTGCTACTTCAAAGTGACCCGCCCGAGACGCCATGTGGAGCGGAGTCTCCACTTTCTGTTTGCAGAAACAAAGGACCCCGCATTAGATTCAACACCAACATTTCAAACATGAGAACTGAATCTTTAAGCTGGTTGTAAAATAACTTTAAGCTACGTACCACGTTAGAGACGCTGGGAGAAGCTCCCTTCTGGAGGAGGATCTTCACAATATTAAGATGACCCATAAAGGATGCAACATGCAAGGGGGTCAGGCCTGACTGTTTGAAAACAGAGACAGAATAAAAGAGCATTACAATACAGACTTCTGAAAACATTTAAACGCTTTAGGATAAATAATTCTGAATTCTTACTTCAGTCACAGCTTCTAGTGATGCTGATTGTTTGAGCAGGAGGTCCATCACACGCATGTGGTTCTTTTTACAGGCGATGTGCAGAGGAGTGAAGCCATTCTGTAACAACGACACAGTTAGTTATTTTTATTGGACTGCAGCTTTGCTCATGTAGAGACAGAAACCTTTCGACTCTGTACAGTAAAAATAGCTCAAGCTCAGCGAGAGGAGTGTCTGTAAGTATCAGTTTAAAATTTGTGGATTTGTTCCTTGAATGTGAATTACCCATTCTAGCAATTGAAAATTATTTGTGCCATTGTCCCGATCAAAGGTCAACTTCCCTTTTGTGTTTACCTCCAGCCATCGCTCTGGACAACTCTGGTCAAATTCACTGTCCGCATAGAAGAACAGCACCACCCATATGCAATATGCTGCCGCCACGATTAGTCACCATAGAGAGAGACTCATAACTTTTTCTGGGTTTGCAGTACGCCATTTCTGCCTCATGCTGTTCAATCTGTATTGTTCCCCAACAAACCTCTAAGGGCTTCACAGAACATCTGGATTTATTCAGAGATTAAATCACACAGAGGTGGGCTCTATTTACTGTAGAGGTTAAACTCTGAAGCCAAATGTCTTGACAGTATTTTAGTCAGATCAGAGTAAACAATACAAATAAGTGGCACACTTTCCAGATTTTCTCTCTCCAGTTTCATTCGCATCTGATCTGATCCATGATACAAATCTTAAAGTGTGAAAATTTCAAGGGTTGCTACAGTTCATCACTTCAGTGGAATTTAAAAGAATGACATATCTCTCACCAGAGCCCTCGAGTTGGGTTTCGCTCCTTTGTCCAGCAGCACTTTGGCCATGCGGTGGTGCCCGCAGTGTGCTGCCACATGCAGCGGAGTGAGGTGGTCCAGTGTTATATCATCAATCTCTGCGTTGTATTGCAGGAGCTGCTTGACGCAGTCCATGTGGTCCCCTTGTGCTGCCATGTGGATTGGTGACAGGCCATTCTGAAAAAAAAAAAAAAAAAAGTCTTTACTTTTTTATTCATATGTGAAAAGAAGGCTTAATAGTTGTTTTTTTTCTTACCTTTGTCTTCGCCTGGATTGGAGCCCCATGGTCCAGCAGGATCTCTATTATTCTGACATGTCCGTTTCTGGCAGCGCAATGCAAAGGAGTCAACTCATCCTGAAAACAGTGGATTGTTAATGATTTAGTTGGTGATTTGTAGAAGTAGAATATGGGAGTTGAAAATTGGGCAGGTTTTGGTCTTACCTTGGTCTTGGCATCAATCTGGGCTCCCCGGTCCAGCAGGAGTCGGACCATGATCACATTCCCTCGTCTGGAGGCAATGTGTAGAGGGGTGATGCCGTTCTGCAGAAACACAGAGATGAGCTCATACCAACACTGAGAGCAAAAATTAGAGCATATATAAGCATCTCTTTCCTTGTTTTGTATTAATTCTTACTTTTGGAGTGAAGTTTACATTTGCTCCTCGATTAAGCAGCAGTTGTGCCACATTCAAGTTTTCATAATGTGCAGCAATGTGGAGGGGTGTGAATCCAGTCTGCAACGTGCATTTGAACATTACCACTTCTGCATTTTATTGGAAGACAAACACACGGAAAGACAGCACACACTGCTTTGGCCACAAACCTTGCTGAGGACATCAGGGTTAGGGTCATTCTGCAAAAGCACTGCAGCTGTGCGTGTATCGTCATTTCGTGCTGCAATGTGCAGTGCAGGGAGCCGGACCTTTCCCTTGGTGCCATAGTTGATGAGCAGAGCTACGACATTCTCATGCCCCTGCTGAAGAGCCACGGCGAGCGGCGTGAATCCATCCTGCAGCACAAGAGAGAGAGTCAGCAGGGGGGCTGAGTCATGAAGCCGAAAACGAACCAGTGTAAGAAGAGAGGCTCATGAAAACAAAGCAGAATGGAAAACACAGAGTGTGGATCAGCAAAGGGTGTCTCTTTCTCTCTCAGTTCTTTGGTACCTCTGTTGGAATGCTCTGATTGGCTCCATTCTCCAGCAGAAACTTCACAACCTCTAGATGGTTTTCTTGTGCTGCCATGTAGAGTGGAGTGAAACCCTTCTGTCTCAGGAAGACACATTACACACACAGACATACACACACGCACACACACACGCATACAAGACCACACACGACAAAGCAAAATCACAGATGCACACACCAGGATGCACACAAAGAGGAAACACAAACACACAGAAATATCAGACAAACAAAGATGAATTTTAACAGATGGCTAAATTCACATAGAGAGGACTGGAAAGCAGCCTCAGTGAATCATGGGATGTCTGTAGTGAGAGCAGCTCTCACCTGCGACTGAGCGTTGACATTGGCCCCATAGTTTACCAGCTCTGTGACCACCTGCTCCTGCCCTGCCAGAGCTGCAATGTGGAGGGCGGTGTTCCCTTTCTGCTCAAACACAAGCAAATACGGCATAATCACCTACAAGTGAGGTACAGAAATCTGCACTTCTTTTGCAAAGCTTTGATATCTTTGTTTTTGGAACAAGACAAATTAATATTTAAACAAGAGACTGTTAAACTATATGCAACTAAAGCAATAATTTATAAACGCTCAACATGCAAGTTTTAAATAACTGACAATTTTTCCTCACATCTGATAAAGTCCTTCTGTCATCCTTTTTGGTATTTTGCCAAAACACTAAAATGAGATGAATTTTGTTTAACATAAAGCTTGATGAAGTCTTTGAAGAATCTCAGTTGCTTCTGATGCACTCAGTCCCAGTCATGAACAGTTTTCTACTGCATCAGAAAGGGATAAATAATTTTTCTTATGACATAGATAAAATCTCTGTGCTACAACAAAATTTAGGAGATCCAAAAAGTTCAAAATAATATTAGCTGAATTAATAAGAAAATTAGAGCTGGTTATTCTGGTTATTCAACCAGATCATGTGAGTAAATCACATATAGAATGGAATAGAATAGAATAGAATAGAATAGAATAGAACAGAACAGAACCAATATACAAGAAAAAAGCAAAGAAAGGTGATGATTGGTTGTTTGAGCTTGTCCCTGAAGGCATATTCCTTGATATTTTAGATGGAAATCGAATTAGAAAGGGAAAACGAGCCAGTTACTTGTTGCAGTCTCTTATGATGACCCAGTAAGCACAAAAAGGATTCAATGATGACTAATTTAACCAGATCTTCTGAAAAGCCATGTGGGATAGGTCATATTATTACTGCGCAGGTGAAGCACATCATATCTGTTTCTTTCTGTGGGGGATTTTCTCTATTTAAAAAGTAAACAGAGTGCAGACTACCTTGTGAGCACTGTTCTAATCCCAGCTGGTGCGTTTCTTCCTTTGCATGATACTTTACCTTTGTGGTGGTCTCCAGTGTGATTCCGTTGTGAAGCAACTCCAGCACCATTTTGACGTGGCCTTCTTTGGAGGCCAGATGCAGCCCGTTGAGCCCATTCTGAGGGAGAGAGAAGAGCAGACCTGATACTGGAGAGTCCTACTACAATAATGCACACGGTGGGAAACACAAAAGCACATGAGCGCCATGCCAGCTGAAACAAGTGGCTTGAAATCACAGTAACGTCGTCACTCACCAAACACACCAAGCGTATTACTCAACAGCATGCAATATGCCAGACTCAGAGAGGTTATCATCAAAAACGATGTCTACAGGAATGAAAATCAAGGCGAGGATTTCTTTTCATTCGCTTAGTGGCGGTTATAGGAGAAGGGAGAGAGGGGAGGGGATGGCAGGCTGCTGTTCTCATGGCTGGGAAGAATACGAGCCGTGTGGGATAGGTCTAACCTCACACAGCCTACCTTCAGCCGCACAGGACATGTGAGGTTGGACCTTTCCCACACCACTGATATTATTCCTCTGAGTGGGGAGACCACAGCACACCATCACTCTACTGGATACAGAGGAGAGAGAAGGAACAGAAAGCAAAGATGAAGGGTAAAAAAAAAAGCAGAAAAAATAAACTGAGGTGAGCATGAGAACCAAGAGGAGAGAGTGGGGAGAAAACACGGTGAAGGAGTGAGGATGTGTGTTGGTGATAAGAGTAGGAGGCGTCCACTCAGATCAGGAAACAACCCCAATGTATAAACAAACTTCACAATGGAGGCAAAGTGATAATCTGCAGGGTTTTTTCAGAAATATCTTTGTATGAATGTAAACCTTGTGGAAAAGGATGCATATCAAACCAAAATCTGAAAATATGATCCATATTTGACATTTGATCTGATTTTGACTTAATTTTCTATAATAAAAAACTTCAATTACAAAACTATAAAACTCTAGGAATCTTGCTAATTATCACTTCAACTCAGGTATAATTTACACCAAACAAAACAACAAGGTAGCTGAGAAGAACACATTGTAAATAAAATATCACTCAAGAATATTTGAATCAAAAACAGTTTGTCATTGGACAGTCTTTTAAATCTATCTGTGCTGTAAATCAATGAGCTCTCAATAAATCCCACACCGAATTAAGTGACGGTCCATTTATATAAATCATGTGGAATCTGTTGGGGATCTTTTGTAACTGCCGTCTTGGACCAAAAGTTGAAGAGAGCAAAGTTAAACTGGGAACAGGCAAAGTTTTTAGGAGCCCAAGGGCATCTGTAATGCTGCCCCTTCCTGGACACTCAGGGAACAACTGTCAGAGTAAAGCAGGCAGGATGGAGGAGATGCAGCAATGGGATTCCTTTGGACCAATTTTAAACACATTCTGAGCTGTAGCTTTCCCCTTGAAGAACTGATTATCAGGTTAACAGAGCATGCATGAGGTGAGCAAACAGGCACAGTGCTCAGTCCATGCATGCTGAGCAATTAAAACACACACAGAAATACAAATACAGAAGATATAGGTGCAGGTAATGAATCAAAAAATAAAAAAGCCTAATCTGCCTGTTTTTATAACTTATTTAAAAATGATTAGTAACACAGGGAATACTTTCCTTGTTAAATGTTTTTATTGCATAACCATTTATGTGGACTTAAATTGTTTTCTTGGGCCATTTATTACACCCATCGTTTCTACTACACGAAATAACACCTTGAAAGGTCCTGAAGGAGAGGGGGCGCTATAAGCAGATGAGCCACAAGTGAGGTTTTGAGATGGGAAAGAGCAAAACATTTGAACACAAATATTCCCAGTTAGTCTCCCAATTTCAACGACTCCACAGTCCATATTGTCTTTAAACTGTATAATACAGTTATTAGTATTTTGGTTTGCAAACACAGCATTAAAAACCCAGTTTATTCATGTTGAACATTGCAGGGTTTTATAGAGATTGTATTTAAATACATTGATGGTACAATCAGCTGTGTGGAGACAGAGTAAAAACTAAAGGAACAGGATATTTAAGGATTTAAACCAGTAACAATGGAATATTTCATAGTTTTTAGTTTAGATACACATTATTATTATTATTATTATTATTTTTATTATTATGGTGATTATGTATTATTAGCAACTGATCTAGAACACATTTCACAGTCTTTGAATAATTAAAGATGGTACAGTTATTTGCCTTCCTGTTTAGAGAAGTTAACAGAAGTTAAACCACTCTAAATTGTGTGGTTGTAGTGTAATCACTTTTGATGGTCTCTCTACATCACTGAGCAGCAATAGTCCCAAGGTTAACGGACATAATCTGTATGAACAACTTGGTTTTGTTTTGTCTTAACAAAATTACTGCTCACATTGCTTCAAAGCATCCTAATTACATACATTTTACTATTTATATTATTTTCAATGTTTTTAGAGATTAGAATGTAATTTTCCACATTAGCCCAAATCTAATGTGTTTGAAAGCCAATCTGTACACAGAAGAAAATAAAATGTTACAATTGCAAGGTAATTAATGCTCATAAAAAATCTCAACTTCAATTTTTTGGTGGCACATTTTGAAGAAATCTTTGTTAACACACAAAAAAGTTTTGAATAAAACTCTATGAAAACAGTTCAATATAAAGAAAATGACCAGATGATCAGTTCAGTTTGTTGGAGACTAAATTAATCTGGAGAACATTAGCTCTCTCTCTCTCTCACCTGATTGGCTGTATTGATATCAATGCCATTTTTTATATGTTCCAAGGCCTTGTCCAGGTTGCCAGATCGAGCCGCTCGAAGAAAACTGTTGCCAGCATCTGCCTGAAGGAGTAGAAAAAAGGATGGGAAAAACAGGAGGGAACGATGGGTTTCAGAGAAAGTGCGAGACACGTAAAGGAAAAGAAAGGGAAATAGAAAAGGAGAGTTATTGGTTAATATTTTCAAACAAAGCAACAACTACAACACCAGGGATTATACAAAGTCACCACTTGTCCGCCAATTTTTCCCTCATTTTTCTCCTCCCTGATGCAATTTTTGATCGCAAGTTAAAAATCTGCCTCTGCGGTTTAGAGTTTGAAGGTTTGATAAGCATCTCACTGAAGAATTGCAGCAGAAACTTCAAATTGTCCCCCAGTATTATCAGCGACTCACATAAAGAGGCAATGTAACGGGAATACAACGATGATGCTTTAAAGGAAAGGGAGAGGGGCAGAGCGAAAGGGTTCAGTGGGTCTCTGCTCAGGACCCGGCACATTGCACGCCTAGTGTTAGTGTCTGTGTTTTGTCTGTGTCTGAGGGCTTCGTGCCTCTGTCAGGCAGGCAGTGCTGCTGGAACGGGATCACTCATCCGGTTCTGGCATACAGCAGAACAGGGCGAGAGGAAGAGCGAGAAACAGTTTTGGAGAGCAACTGGGGGGAAATGACAGGGAGTAACTGCATCAAAACCTAGACGTTTCCTTTCATTCACATAATATCCACTCTCACTGTGCCTCCCCACATCGTTCCATCCAACCAGATTCCTCGAAATGCTCCACAGAAAGAGGTTGCAGTTGTAAATAATGGCTTCATTCACTGTGCAGACCTCTAAAAATGCTACAAAACACAGTGCTTTATGCTTTGTTGGATACTGTTGTGACAGTGCTGTTGGTTGAGAGAGAAAGAAAGCGAGAGAGAGAGAGAGAGAGAGAGAGAGAGAGACAGAGGGGTCAGGGGGCCTTCGGTGAAAAAACAGAAAGGATCCGCATGCCAGGAGTAGAGGCATAGCAACAAATGACACAACCCACCCTCAGCGGGACACCAGTCACACAAAACTGTGCAAAGAGAGAGATCACTTTAAAAATGAGGGACTCTGTTGGCAAGAAAACTGAAAAGTTTCAAAAGTTGCTTCCAGCTGATTGAGGCACCAAAACAACGTCTCACAAGTGTGTGTTCATGTTGAAATTTACACAGTGGCAAAGTATGAACTCATGGGATAAAGTGCAAATCCTGTTCAATCTTCTCTGTGCAAAATCCTAAGGTTTTAAGAGAATCATTTCTCTAATGTTCGTTTTTCCTTGCAAACAAGCCAGAAGCACACCCACACAACAGAAACATTTTATTTTGATCCAACAAAAAAAACACACACACACACATTTGACTCCAGACCTTCTCTGGGATTGCAGTATTAGGACTTCAATAACACAACAACCAATATTTAATTTAGCGTAAATTAAATATGGATTGAATTTACATTATGCAAATGAAAACATGTGGCCTGGTAAAAATCAGCACCTTGTGCTACACTTTGCTTCTTCCAGAAGGTCTGGCTGTAGAGAAATGATTACTTCCTGAATAAGTGGACTGTGTTAAAGTTAAAAATTTTACCCATTTGATAACATTTTCCCAAGCGGCAAAAGCCCAGTCTCTGTTGCAAGTGAGAAGTTTTTTTTGTGCGAAATTGCACAGGAAGATTATGGCCAGGCTAGGAAATATGTAATATTACAACAAATACTGGCTGAAAGAAGTCTAAATCATGGAGGAAGTGCAGGATATCACACTGTTTTATTTGTGTGCAGTTATTGCATGGGTCAATAACTGCAATAAATGACAGACAAATGTCCTTTTTCTCAATCTCCAAATCCTCTTGTTAAAGTAAAACTTACAAATTGTATGCAAAGCTTTTGTGTTTTTGTTATATTTGGTTCTTGTTTACCCTGTCATAGCAACATCCAAAACATCTTGTTCACTACAGAAACGGCAAACTGCTGAAGAAAAGAACTTCACTCAATATGGATGCTCTTGTGAAAAATTGGAGCGTACCTAACACCATACTGACCTCAATGTGAGCCCCTGTGCAGTCTGCAGATGTCTACACAACAGCAGCAACTCATTCTCAAAGCCCTGCAGGAAGAATTTCCCTTCATGGCAAGGATTTCCTACTGCGCACTTCTGCATTTTCATGCGTTTGTGTGATTAGCAGCTGACGTCAAGGAGGGAGTGCGTGGTGCGGCGAGATAAAGATTCAGGAGAACCACACCCACCCCGGGCTCACACATAAACAGGTGCAGCTTGCTTGTTCTATATAAAGAGACGACAGGAATGTGTGATGAAGCAACTCTTCAGGTTCATGTAGCTGAATTGGATTTCAGTGAATGATGCCTCCTCCTTTTCCACATCTCCCACAGAAAGTGGTTGGGCGTGAGCCTTCTGGACTGAGCAGAACCAAGCAAGCACATTAATCACACTGTTCAGAGTAGAAAGAGCAGACAATAGCCTGCGTAGAAGCGTTTTTTGGTTAACACGGGTAGCATCAAAACACAATGGCTCACAATGTGCAGCTGTCCTCAGGCTAAGACTGGTGCACAGCTTCTCATAATGAAGCTCAAAATTATCCATCGAAATTAATCTCTCGGCGTCATCCATCACAGCAAATCCTCCCAACACTCGTTCTTTTTTTTTCTCCGTTACGTCTATTCCCTTTTCCACCTTCATGTCTCTTATGTTATTATTTCTCCTGCTTTGCTTCCTCTGCTGGTGCCGCAGCAGACAGAATGACATCACCTCTCACTAGTGCACTGCAGTGTTCAAAAAGATGCATGTGTGTGGATGCATGCACATGGAGCAATCAATGCTCCAGACGAACAGGACAAAAATCCTTTTTTTTATGATGCTGATTTTCATTCACAATCAAGAGTTTTGAAGCAGATGTGAATGAGTCAACCTCAGTATGTGCGCGTGTGTGTGTGTGTGTGAGGGGTAGAAATAAGATGAATGAGAACCCTGACACAGCTAAAAGCAGATCTTCACTATCTTGTAACAACTTGATCTTGCATTTCAAACTAGAACTTTGTGAACCAAAATATACATTTTTAAACCATTCATTGAATAAGTTCTTGCATGCAACCAGCTCTTTCCAGAATTTAATGAGGATTTGATCCTTAATCTGTTTCACATTCTCTGCTGGACAAAAACAACCCTAACAATATTGTGTCTGATGCAACTTAAATGAAAAGTTTGGAATGTTTTACCTGAATGCTGGTTAGATTAGCAACAAACCAAACAAATGATCAAAACTGGAGTTGAAATATAAGGATTTCTTTTCAAATTAACAAACAGGTTCCAACTAAAGACATTTTTCCTTTGTGGACATACACAGACACACACACATGCAAACATATAAATAAACCTGGAAATTTGCTGATGTAGCACCAGGTGCAAATGATGAATAGTTAAAGTGCCATCGCAGCAAAAAGAGGAAAATAAGGAGTCTACACATGTTCAGCCAGGACAAGTGTTGCTTTTCTTGTAAAACTTTATTAAACTTAAAAAATAAAAATAAAGACTCTCCAGGCTAACACTGCCTGTGAAATGTCTTCTATTTAAACCTCCCATTACTCAATATCTAGATCTATTTTAGACTAATGATCAAGTTTTTTTCATTAAGGGCAACACAAAATGCTGGCTATGGTAATGCCAGCAAAGAGCTTAATAACTATGTCATCGCTCTTCTTTCTGCTGACTTGCTCTTTTTACCCCATAAGAATAGATTTTTCCCCTATTTTTACTGCTTGCAGTCGCTGCAGCTTGTTGAGGAGTTGGCAGCAGCCTGTTTGCAGCAACAGAGATGTATTTACTGTAAACGTCTGTCAGTGGGGATGCTCACACATGGACATAATGAATGAGGACGGAGCTGCTAAAGATTCCACCTCAAGCCTCATCTGTCTGACCGTTCGCTGTGGAGTGTCCCACTTTCAGTATTTACTTTCTCACACTCCTGGGGACCCCCACTCTGCAGCCCACTGTTTGTCTCTGCTTTGCCTACAGATTGTCTCTTTATGACTGGCCCTGCTGCAGCCTCTGCGCCTCAAGATGAGATTGTCATGGGTATTATTGTTACGGTTATTGTGATCTTTTGTGAATGACAAAGAGGGTGAGAGCCATCGGGTGAAGATAGCGTTGGGCTAGAATTATAAGAATAGGATTAAAGCTGCAAGCAGCCTCGAACGGCCCTCGCAGCCAAGCGCCGCTCCGGCCTATTGCCACCGCGGGGTACTAGCAACCGCCGCCTCACGTCAGCCACCACAGAAGCTCTCACGCAGTTTTCAGCTCCTCCGCCCGCACCGCGGAAGCTGTTGCTCAGTTTCCATCAACGCTGGCCACGTGCTAACACAGAAGTTGTTGCGCAGTTTCCGCGCCCGTCCACCAGGCGGTACACACTGATGCGTTTGGAGGCGCTCCTTGACGATGCAAAAAATGTGGTGCAGATTCATTGGTTTAGCGAGGAAATATAGCTGGCGGATTAATGTAGGACGCGCAGTGGAGCCAAAATATATTTCAATGCTGTTGTTCTCTTTAGAGGTCAACAAAGGTCATACGTATCCAATTTGGCGTCAGTCGGAAGATCCACGTGTCATTTACAGCCGATCATATGCACATGGCGAAGTACTACAGTTCGTCATTTTTCATCATTTTCAGCTGTGTTTCTAAAGCAGTCTATTTCATTGTTGGAGTAATTCTTACTCAGAGTGGCGAATTACTGAAATGGTTTGTAAGAAGTAAGAAAACGCTACATTTACTGCATGATTTAATTCAACAAAAATTATCTGAGACATTTCTATCCTTTTAGAAATTTCATGGCAACGCTCTCACAAAGTTTTCGCGCCCATCCGCCTGTGGATCTGTTTATCATCGGTGGAGGAACACTGACACCTACTGGCGAAATAGTGATATTGTTCTTCATCTTGTTTATCTGCTGTTTCATTTGTGGAGCAATACTGACCCCAAGTGGCGAATTATTGAAATGGTTTATAAACGCCAAAAATGGGATGAAAATCTGAACTTCAATCTAAAATGGCCGACTTCCTCTGGGGTTTAGACCATGGCTCCAAGAGACTTTTTTGTAAGTCCTGACAAGGTACACACGTGTACAAAGTTTCGTAATTGTAGGTTAAAGCATGGCTTGGGGCTTATCATTTAAAATTTTCTAGGGGGCGCTATAGATAAATTAGGCCACACCCTACAAATATTGTGATGGATTCCTGTCGGGGAGTGGATGAAGATCCATTCTTGTGAGTTTGGAGCAGCTGCGCCCAAAAATGTGGAATTGAGAGCCAAACGTATGGCGATGGCGTTACAGGTCACTTCGCCACGCCGCCACGCCCAGCTGCTCCATCGAAGCTGGTCGGGGTTGGAATCCTCAACACACCAACATGTCTTCTGTGTCTGGGCACAGTTTCATGTTGATAAGGTCAAAGGGGTCAGATAGCGACCGTTCGGAGTAAAACATGACACTTCCTTTTCTCAGGGGGCGTGGCCTAACTGATGTCATCATTCCACCATAGGGTATTGTAGGACACCCGATGATGATCAATCCCAGAAACTTTGGTGCCTCTGTGAGTTTCTGTGTAGGAGATATAACAGTTTCTTTTTTTACAGCGAGTAGGTGAACTTTGACCCCGGCTAACCCCCCTTCAGCATACTCAAAAACTCACCGTTTTGATAACTTTAGATGGGACATGTCTTATGAGCAGACTGACCGAGTTTGAAGCCGATCAATCGAAATCCCTAGGAGGAGTTCGATCAAATGCGGAGGCTGTAAATGGCAAAAATGGGCTCAAAATCTGAACTTCAATCTAAAATGGCCGACTTCCTGTGGGGTTTAGACCATGGCTCCAAGAGACTTTTTTGTAAGTCCTGACAAGGTACACATGTGTACAACGTTTTGTAATTGTAGGTTAAAGCATGGCTTGGGGCTGATCATTTAAAGTTTTCTAGGGGGCGCTATAGAGAAATTAGGCCACGCCCACCAAATATTGTGATGGATTCCTGTCGGGGAGTAGATGAAGATCCATCCTTGTGAGTTTGGAGCAGCTGGGACCGAAACAGTGGAATTGAGAGCCAAACGTATGGCGATGGCGTTACAGGTCACTTCGCCACGCCGCCACGCCCACCTGCTCCATCGAAGCTGGTCGGGGTTGGAATCCTCAATACACCAACATGTCTTCTGTGTCTGGGCACAGTTTCATGTTGATGAGGTCAAAGGGGTCAGATAGTGAAAGTTCACAGTAAAACATTACACTTCCTGTTCTCAGGGGGCGTGGCCAAAGTGATGTCATCATTCGACCACAGGGTATTGTAGGACACCTGATGATGATCAATCATAGAAACTTTGGTGCCTCTGTGAGTTTCTGTGTAGGAGATATAGCAGTTTATTTTTTACGGCGAGTAGGTGAACTTTGACCCCTGCTAACCCCCCTTCAGCATACTCAAAAACTCACCGTTTTGATAACTTTAGATGGGACATGCCTTATGAACAGACTGACCGAGTTTGAAGCCGATCAATCGAAATCCCTAGGAGGAGTTCGATCAAATACGGAGGCTGTAAACGGCAAAAATGGCCTCAAAATTGGACCTTCAATCCAAAATGGCTGACTTCCTGTGATACTTGCACTATGACATTAATTGTAAATTTTGAGCGTCCTGGGGAGCTCTACAAGTGTACCAAATTTCATGTCTCTAGGATAAAGTAAGTGAATAGCAAAGGGTCCTTTGAAAATTTCTAGGTGGCGCTATTGAGCCATTTCTTGTGGGATTTTTGTGATGACCTTAAAAATCAAAATTTTTAAACAGGCTTAAGGCCTCCGCCAAGTTTGGTGAGTTTTCCAATATGATAAGGCCCCCAAAAAGCCCCCCAAAGAGGTGGGAAGAAAAATAATAATAATAAACAATAGGAAAACAATAGGCCTTCGCAGCGCTTAGCTGCTCGGGCCTAATAAAGATATGGTAAACTAATGGTGCTCTGCTGCACAGTTACAAAACTGTAAGTGATTTGTTATTCTTCTTTGTTCGAGGTGCTGCATGCAATGTGAAATATATTTCTCCAAAAAAAGATCCATTCAACATTTTCAAACGAATATGAACCCTAAAAACGATGCTACTTGAACTCTAATATGAAGGAGGTTCCATACATTTATATATAATTTATTTTTGAAGTTTCTGAAGCAAAAATGTTTCTATATTTCATAGCAGTGATATGTATTTCAATCTCACAAAGCTAAATAATAAAGAGTATTATAAGTGACACATGCTTTATTTTTAAGAAATATATATATTTTATGCCTGGCATATACGAGAAACATTTTGTGATTTTGGTCATTTAGAATAATTAAAATCTTCATACATGTTAATATTAGTAGATTGCTGCTTCTTTCTGAATGCTGACATATTCCATGTATACAGGTAAGTTAAATATGTTTTAATATTTTGGTAGAGCTAAGTTTATAGTTATATTTTCTTTTGCATGCATGGTGCTTCTGGAAGGAAATAAAATTTACTTCTCGAGTGACCAAATCAAAGTCGCAACTTGAATCCGATGGAAAATCTGTGAAGGGAGCTTAAAATTAGGTCATGTCGATTTCGTCCCCAAAGATAAATCATCCAGAAACCCATGGAAACGTGTCAACAATTACAAGCAGGGTTTGTTTGCCATACTGCCAAAGATTTTTTCATTTATTTTGGAGAAGAAACAATTTAACATTAATTTATTAATGAAACGTAAAGAAAAATGTTTTTAATCAGTCGATACTCATTTTACACTCTTCCAGAAAATAAATGAAACAGACAAGTAAAAAAGTAATGAATTTTAAATCTATATATGGGAACAATTTGGGGCTAATATAAACAACACTTAAGTCATCATGGCAAACTGAATCTATTGTTTGCTGTTTTAAATGATTTTTCATACCATGAAAATTTCCTTGATCTCGCAGCTCTTAGCTTTTTAGACTAAAAATGTTGAATGCAGAGAATGATACAGAAAATCTAGTGCTTATTTCCCTCAAATCTCCTGGGTCTAATGAACTCAATTTATTCCATTCATTTTGCTGCTATTTCAAACCTACATCTCAAAACCATTCATTTTTACTTTCTAAAACAGAATTACCATTTATTGCAACAACATTGTCTGTTTTTCATCCAACAATTTGAGTCAACATTTGGTAGCAATCTACATTATTTCTCTATGTTTTATGGTACATAATCCATGACCTACAAGGGAACAAATCTTGTTAAGCACATAAAATAAGTCTTAAGGAAGCTTAATTGTTCCCTACTGTTTTTTTTTTTGTTTACTTTTTACTATTTGTCAAAAATATAAAAAACAAGGTTCAGAGCTGTCTAAACTGAATGACATTTATCTTTAGACAAAAGCTGTATTTCCAGGAGTTGCATCATGAACATCAATGTAAAACCTGATGAACCTTCCCTGCATAACCAAAGACACAAAATAAACACTAGACCCTTGTGGGTATCCACCCTATTTTGCTTGGGCTCAGTAAGTCAAGCAGTCTATACTCTTTAAACTGGAAACTTCTCGTTGACTGATCATTTGTTGACCTCCTGTTTGCTTACCACAGCTAATCCTGGCTGACATCATTCAATCTGAACATCAAACAGTCGTCCGAATGAAGCCAAAAACAAGATTAAAGAGCAAAACACACCATGATAAACACCCAAATGTAGACGCACTTACACTAATCTTTGATGCACATGCGCCACAGGATCCTCCCAGGCAACCAACCCCACTGAGAAGCTCCTACTAAAATGTGCCTAAATACGCAGCATATTGACAGGCGCCATGTTCAGATGATAATTTATGACTGGAAACAAGAACAAGTTGAAAAGTGTCCAGAATGGCAATTGTGGACAGAGGGCAAACAAAAATGGCTTTTTGCAAACTGAGCACAAACAGACATAGACCATGTCTTGAATAGTAACCAAGTGCATAATGAGTTGATAGCAATGCATAATCATTTAAATATTAGAGAGCAAGAAAACAGAAACAGATTTGAGCTTGGGGGTTAGAAAAGGATCATTACCAACACAGAGAAGGTTACAGGTGCAGTAAATCTGATTTAAAAAAAAGTTAAAATTTTCTGAAAACAAGTAA